AGAAGTTTTTAAACAACTAATAACATGTCTAGATGTGAGCGATGGACAACGTGCGAAGTATTACATCAGCAATGACAACTTTAAGGTTGTAGTTTCAGGCGGGCGCAATGAAGGCGAAGTGTTGGTCGAAATTAGGAATAAGGCTGCATTAGTTCGGACTAAAATAAAAATGTGGTTCTGTCCCTGTGTGACAGCGAGAAGTCAAACACAACAAGCGCGCTTTACGTCCCAAGCATGGAAAAGACCAACATCTGATATTGAATCATTAAGTGGCAAATTGGAAGTGGCATTCGATGATAATAAGATTGAATTTAGAGCAAAGGCTCCGAACAAGTGCCGGCAATTGTGGGTTAATGAATAATATCTAATTAAATCTCGACGATCTGGTAATCCATCATCGCGAAGCAAGATTCTAAAAATATACGCGTATGAGCGACGAATCGGCCGATGTATTGTGCAAAATGGTTGTAAAAGCATTTATAAAGACGCCAATATGCCGCCAAAAGTAATTGGATCAAGCGTGTGTCGCGTTAGCCAAAACATTAAGATCGTGCATCATCAGTATAACCCAAACAAGCGCCAGATGCGATCCATTTGAGCCTATGCGCATTGATTAAATGTTGCATAGTGAGGGTCGACTCGCTGGGTAGAAGCAGATACTTTTCCTGCTAATAATCAATGAAGGCAGAAAATAAATAAAGAGTTCCAGTCTGTGCGTAAATTCGGATGGCGAAAAACACATTGAGAAGTAAATTGTGGTGGTGTAGACGCAGCTTGGCTAAAAACCAAGTTCATTATACACGATAGTGCACGCGATTTGAGACGGCTTTTCGGAAAGGCATTCTACAACAATTAAGGATTACGGCTAGGAGTAAAGGTATTTTGCGACGATTAAGGAACTAAGCAGAAATTTATTCTTCCGTATGCGCACCAGGTGAACGGATCAGCTAGACGAGCGATTTTAAAACATCGTGATGATCGGCCGCGACATGCTTCACTTCGCTAGTCTGAACTTGTTGTTTTGGGCTGAAGCGGCAACGACGACGATCTACATTAATGGTCGCCAGCCTTTGCCCATTTACCAAGACCAATCTACGTCCACTATCGTCGAAGAATTCCGACCAAGTGTGAAGCATATGCGAGTTTTGAATGCCACCAATTTGTGCTATAAATCTAAGGAAAGCGATACAAGTGAAATTCGAAGGCTGGTGGTCGAATTTTTATAGGTAACCAAGAAGTGTCAAAATCATGCTACTTTTACGACATTGAAGCTGATCAAGCGGTGACATCTCGCGATGTCACCTTCGTCGAGTCTGCTTTCGGTGACGTTCACGCAAGATAATGTAATTGACCCTGCATTGATTTCTATAACATTTTTCTTGCAATAATCGTGTTTTATGCAGTGCACGCTAATCGCAAGGCTTACAGACTATTCGATTACACAAGAACTCGATTTAAAATGATCATTCCTGCTCGTCATTGAGCCGGGAAAGAAGAATTGAGTGCGCCGAATGACCTTAGGTTTCACCGAGAGAAACGACAAGCATACACTCAAACCAATCTGAACGAAGAGAGAAAAGTCAGCAAAGAATATGACGCTGACGCTACACCTCAATTTTTTGGAAAGTGAATTCCAACACACTTCAAGTGCTGACATGACCGAGCCGACAACCTTAGATGAAGCTAACCGTGGACCGAAGTAAGTGCATGTGCGTAAAGCGTTTTGTCCCAAGTTGGACTCGATGAAGCTTAGTGAATTTTGTCGAGCGACCAAGATTTTGGCTCGACAGCACGTCATTGGCACCAAAAAATGGGTTACACAAGATTTAGCTCAAGGCTCATTGGTCCATCAAGAATTTTAAGACTCGTCTCATTGCAATGGGTTTCAGGTAGAAATATGGGATCAACAACAAGGAAACGTTTTCAACACTGATAAAGCATGTGACGCTGCAAGTAGTGATCGTGATTATAAAGTACCTAAACTTGGCACTGGACCAGTTAGACGTGTGGCGGCTTTCCTGTACGTCGAGATAAAAATATGCTGTTCCATGCGATACCATAATCGTCGACATTAGTGAAGATTTTGACTGCTTTGAACGGATGAAGGAAACAAACGGACCTATACAAGTATAGTGGACTTGTAATACGATTTTACCCGCCTTTTCTGCTCCAACGGATTTTTAGTATCCGATTTCGATTGGTTTCTTTATCTCAAGATTTTTGATTGGGAGTGCGTGCTTTTGCTGGCCTAGGTTGATGATGTGCTGGTAACTGGCACCTCAATAGAAATGGTTTCGTACACGAAGATAGAAAAAAACAGATATTAAACGTCTGACATTAAGTGGCCAATAAAAACCCTTTTTGTGAGAATTCACAAATCTCGTCTTTCAACCCTTCACAAATGGTGGCTGTAACTACTATAAAATCAATCGTGGCGACGAGTACGTCTCGACAGGTTTTTAAGAGATCACAGAATTTCACAAATCATACTTACACCGACTAGCGTCGATGTCCATATACACCGTTTAAATCCAAGCTCAAAGACTTTCGATATTTATTCTTACACAGAATAGGATTGTTGTCCATGTACACCATGAAGTCCGGACCTTAAACACGTAGCAAAACGCAAGCAACATGCACATTAAAAACGGGACTTGAATGAGCGTTGCGGTGCCAGAAACTTCACGACGTCGAACTAGACATAAGATGTATTAATGTAATGCTGATATCAAGCTACTCACGATACTTATTACGTGCCAATTTTTTGTAATGCCAGCTTTGTTGTCAATAGTGCAGGAGATAATATTCAAAGGTCAGTTTAAATAGATGAAGTCGTAATCATACACAATGAAGGGAGGTGGCCAAAAAGCCATCAAGAACGCAAAACACTGAATTTTTAGCTGTTCGAATAAGGGCTTCGTCTGGTGCTGTCTCATATCTAGCTCAGTGTAATTTAGTGCAGATCTAGATGGCTGCTGCTGTCAGAAGTAAAACGTCAATAAACTGTTTTAATTTCTGCTGAATAAATCGATCGTCTTCTCAGTCTTTTAAGAAATATTCTATTTGTGCAAGGTGAAGACTGGGATAAGATAACCCATTTATTTACATACGATAAAACTGGACTCGTGTGGACGGTGGCGCACCTACAAAAACCTTTTTCGATCTTGGCAAAGTCTTACAGACGACTAGGGTATCAGCATTTTGAGAAGGAGAAGCGTGCGAAGCGAGCCAAGTGGCAAACTACGCCAGATTAGACGCCGAAGATATCAACGACACGATTTATGAAGAGATCTTGGGGGGCAGTGCGTCATTTAAATACAGCGTGGAGTGAGACAAAAAAGGTGGTTGGCGACATTGGTAAATTAGTTGTGAAAGGAAGCACAGTGGGCAAATGAGCGTTTTGGAAAGGAAGAAAAATGACATTATCTAATATGAGGAACCAAAGGATAAAGATTAAACGGTTGCAGTGAGCCGTAAGAATTCGACGTCTGTCGATTTAAAAAAATGGTTTCTGCTCTACTATTGTTATCTTATCCACTGACTAGTGCAACCATAAACAAAACGCCATGACTGGTCTTTTTATCATACTAAGTGCAAGCAACGCGTAAAGAGGAATTCTGCTGTTTTACACGACTTGTCGGACTGTCTCATACTTATCTTTTAACGCTTACGCCTGAGCCGGCAAGCCAAAAAGTGTTAAATGAGTTTACTAATGACCATTTACATGCTAATTTCAATATTGAAGGTTTGAAGTGCTGCAAGAAAATGATTTCGGATTGATCAGGATTTGGAGCGATGACAGAGCCGTAACTACCGCCCTCCTTGACTCCCATCAAGTTGTTGTACATTATGATGAAGCAGATACAACAAGAATGATAAATTAGAAATCGGAACAAACCTACGTCGTGAGGCTGACGTTAAACGACTAAATTGTACACAGTACGACGTTTGATAAAAAAATAGCGTAATTTATAGACAGACACACATACAGATACGTACTTCTAAAGTTCGGCATTCAATATATGCACAGTCACTGATAGCTTCACCCTCGGATCTCAGCAATATAGCAGATTACAGAGGTACACCAGTTGTATCATGGGGTCGTGGTCAGGACCTTTTAGCAGTAAAGGGGCTTTTCATTTGAGGCAGTATCATTGAGACTCCTTTTTCCCGTCGAACATTTTTTATAAAGTGGTAGCTGCTGAAGAAATGAATAGTTCTGAACGAGTGACCTACGAGAAACGGCGGTCTCGTTTAATAAGCGTCACACTATAGCAGGATAGTATCCGTTTCGAACAGTTGTCCTTTTTCGGACCAAATACTTGACAATCGTCTTTGTAATACTCAACTGCGCTTTTTGCCCGACGAAGTACAAGACTTCTCACAACGCAGCCGCATCAATTCGTCATTATCGAGTAATTAATCTAAGTGCGACCCTCGATAACCCTGCAAGTGACATGCATGAGCTCCTCACCTATTTCGAGCAAGACTATGATGGTTTCATATCTCTTAGTATCGTAGAGTGAGTCACCATCAACGTAATACTGCAACATGATCTCCCACAGTGGCCCTACAACCTAGCACAAACAAAGTCGCATCATAGTCGTTATTGCTAAACACAGCTCGGCCTTGTGCTCCATCCCACCTACTTTCCATGACAGACATTCTTCCATCCAAGTGACTGACTCTCGACGATGCTCCAGCTGTGTAATCGACTGATCTTTGCCTGCCCAAACCTCAATCATCTTCTACAAAATTAAACAGCTCGACCAATTCTTACAGGCTGGAACAAATATAAGAGCCCCAGCAACAAAGTCCTGTCCTGTGTCCTATGTTGCGTGGTGTCTGTCTATTCTAGGCGCAACTTATCCGTCCCCCACGTCTTCACGCAACATAACCCATCCACACCCGCAACTCAGTCGACCACCCACAGTCAGTCGCCACCCCTCGCCATCTCACTCTTTAACTTTGCGCCGAGCCGAACGATCGTCGAGGCACAAATGAGTGCGCCCATTGACGACCTACTGTACGGCGGCGACGACGACTCGGGGGACGACGACGACATGAACAGTACGTGGTCCGTCTATGCTGCACCTGCCTATGGCCTCTCTCTTGAGCCGCTAACGACGCTCTACCCGTCTCTTGACGTCCCCTTTTCGTAGCTTCACTGCCTCTTCTGCGCTCGTACGCTGGCGTGCCATTGGCTGGCGCGGCCGTGACACCCCCAGGGGGGCTGTTGATCGCACGTGCGACGACCAGTGCACCTTCGGTCCTTAAACCCTTGCCACTGATGACGCCAGCTACGACTGGGGGCCCGCCTCAAGCGCTACCGACAATGTCGACTGGCGTTGCGGTTACTTCAGCAGCCAAAGCACCGTCTATAGCACCAGCTGCGCCTGTGACACCCGTGAAACTAGCACCGGGTTCTGGCCAACAGATGTTTCAGCAAATGTTTGCCTTGTTGAAACAGATGCTGCCAGTCGAGCAGTACGCGACGTTGCACTCGGAGATGCGGAAAGGCAATGCCAATGACATCAAGTCGATTGTCGAGATTATCAAGCGCGTTGTGGGCGACGCGACGTTCTCGAGTGTGATTCAGAGAATGGACTTGACCAGGACGTTGCCTGTTGCTGGTACTGCTACTTCGGCTGCTGCTGCTACTACACCGGTACCGGGTCGTTGCTACTTTTGTTGTTTTCTACTGTAGATTAGTTGACGTGTGGTGCTATTTTTGAACTTGTAGAGTACACTGGGTGCGATGAAGTCTGAGCCAGGAGCTGCTACAGCTTCAACGTCGCCTGGAGTCTTAGGTGGACCGTTGGCTGATAGGACAACGGGTCTGTCTGCGTTACCAGTGACGTCGACGATCGCCGCGTCGCCGAAGCCTACCGCAATTGCGCCAAACACGCGACCGATTGCTGCAGCATCTCCTTTGGTAGTAGCTGCTATGCCAGTAGCTGTACCAACGTCGATTGCAGCACGACCAACGCAGATCCAGCAATCGCCTGGGACAGTGAACACTCCACCAGCAAAGGAGTTGAATGATGGTGTGAAGCCGGAGCCAGCAGTTACAGCAGCTACTGCATTTACATCTTCATCTCCCAACACGCCTCTCGGTGCTGGGCAGTCGAGGAATGAAGCACTGGAAAAGATTTTGTTTGCCAAACGGTTACTCTCGCATGCCGCTACGTGCTCGCTGTCTCATGGTGTCTGTCAGGTAAAAAAGTGTGACGACGTCCGGCGAGTATTTAAGCATAGTTTGTCTTGTGGAGGGGCGAATGGATGCTCGCACTGTGAGCAGTTGAAGGGTCTCGTGAAGTACCATGCGAAGGAGTGTGCTGTCGGGATTGCAGAGCACTGCTCGATCCCGTTTTGTGATGGCTTGCGGCGCACTTACGCCCAGAGCCAAGCTGCCGCGGCGGCCAAGCTTAAGACGGCGCAAGCGGGCGGAATGGTGGAGAGTGACGATGACGACGACAACACGCCCCTGTCTTCCGCAGTGAGCAAGGCTAAGAAACAAGCAAAGACAAAGTCTCCCAAGAATATGCCTGTTCGGGGCGTAGTTGCTCAGCCTTTGAAGCGCAAGGGTTCGATTACGTCGCTCACTAAAACGAACAGCTTCACGTCCCCTGGACCCTCAGTAGTGGCAACGCCTCCAAATGCTACGACAACAGCCACCGCATCATCAGCACTTTCTGCCTCAGCCGGTGTCAAGCCACCGCAAAAGAACGTTACTGCCAACATGACCCAGGAGTACGGTCGTCTATTACAGCTGATTCTTCATGTGGAAAAATGTACGACAAGTGCATGCGCTGTTGGCGAAGAGTGTGCTGAATCGAAGACGATTATGAAGCAGATGGCTTCTCCGAATCCACCAGTATGTGCACTATATCTTGTTCGCACGATCCGAGCGACATCTGACGAATCTCTCTTTGATGCTTTCAGGTCCGGGCTAAAACATACAAGCAAGTCTATGGTCACTACAAGACCTGTGTGGCGAAAAACAATACGGCTAATTGCCCAATGTGCAAGATCGGGCTGCTGCCAATTCTGCCAACCCCGAGCCCGGCATTGCCACCTCATGCACAGACAAGTTTCAAGACGCCGATTGCGCCTTCCGCAAGTGCTGTCGCAGGTAGCACGGTTGCGACTTTTCCTTTGTCTGGGGACTCGAACAAGCGTGGAAATAGTGCAGTGTCACCGACGCCGCGCTCCCCAATAAAGAAGCAACGAACGAATTCTACTAGCCGAATGAAGACGACGGCCGTGGAAGTGGCAGCCCAAATGGCTTCTGCGTCAGACTTGGTTAACCAAGAACTTGCTCAAGCCAGCGTTATGGACATTCGCAGCGAAGCTGACGTTCTCACACATACGGGCGTTGAGCTAAGCACAGAAAGACGGATAATGATGGAAGGTGGTCCACGGCGTGTACGGATGGAAGAGCAGTTGCCGTGCCGGAAAGAAGATTGGGTAGAAAAGGATTTATTTAACTCGGAGAAATTGCGGGGCCAGATGCGTGAGGCTGCCCGACGGTCAGGCGTCGAACTTGGAAGTCAGACAAGTGAGGTGATGGCGTACGCTCTGCATGAGTACCTGAAGCAAGTGATGGAAGAAATGGTTGAGATCGCAAAGCAGCGGGGAGACTCGCAAGCGCAGTCGTTTGAAGCGTTGCAAAAGGCACGAAGGGTTGGAGCAGTCATGGACGGACGATGGGGGAATCGTATGGAGCTTTCGGCGACTGATATTTTACGCGTCAGCTGTGAAGATTCGTTCACGAAATTAGCACAAGAAGATCTGATGTTGCGGTCGCAACTGTTGGAAGATGCTAGACGCGAGGAGCAAATTGAGAAAGAACGTGCCAAGAAGCGCAAGAAAGTGGATCGCAGTAAGCTGAATCAGGACGAACGAGACGAAGCTGAGATGGACATCGAAGAGCTGGCTGTAAAGGACCTGAAGGAGCGTCTGCTACAGCAGGATAAGGAGGGAGTGGTGAGAGTGACTGGCCGCGTCAACGAGAGTATCTCAGTAAAGTACGCGTCGCGGATGCCTGATAATCAAGTGACCATGGAGGACGCCAATTACTGGCTTTTGAGTCAGAAGCCGTACATCCGTCCTAAGCTGTTTTTGCGTGCCGAGGCAGCGCGCATCGTGACGAAGTCTCTCCTCTGAGGGTGATGCCATGTGATTCACGGAGGGAGAAATACAACGCAAGAGAGCGATAAATTAAAAGCGCTTCCGTCGGTCTTTCGCAACGGACGGTCCATCCAATTACGACGACAAGCTACTCGAACCGCGAATGGATCCGCACTTCACCCTTCTTTGCAGCCACCGGGAGTTTAGCGGTTGGGAAGGCGTACACGTCTGATTGGATCGCGGACGCTCCTAGGACAACGGCAGCATGCAAAGTCAGATGGCGAACGACGATCAGTGAAAGTGCAGTCTTGTGCAGCGAAGGTATGCGTTTTCTTACCTGGGATGGCACAGGAATCAGCAACGTAGACATCTTGTCCATTGTTCCGCAGTTGTACAAAGTGTGTGCGTTGTTTGACGCCCTTGGACTTGAGTGTGGGCGATGACGGCAGTAGTTTTCCATCTGAGGTCATAGCCATGTCCATACCCAGGTAAAGTCCTTCACCAGTTTCTAGTGCAATGTGGTAGGCGTGCCACGGACACTTGATTGTCGGCTTGCCACCCATTTCTTCAATGTCTCCATTAACTAGAGGCCCACCGTGGTCTGTATGCAAAGGTCCATCTGCAAGTCAGCCCTGGTACAGAAATAGTAGGATAACCTTGTCAAACGTGAAAAAAAAGACACACTGGGCATCTCTAACCTACGGTAACAAGCTTGATCCATGCAGAAAACTTGTCCTCGGACATGGAGCAGCATCACGCTACGATGGGAAGTCGGTAGCTCAACGCATTTCTTGGACATCGGCGGGAGCTCCGATAGCTTACACACGAACTCGTACTTGAGCAGCTCACTTGACATGTCGTGCAATGGTCTATTCGTACTTAGTCGAGTTTACCAAAATGATGCGACGGAGTGTTGTTGTTGAAGAGTGGTCGGGACTTTTGGTGACGGTGAAAAGTCACCGCTGAACGCAGTGTTTCGAGTCCAGATTTGTAGCTCACAGAAAGTTCGTCATCCTGAGGTTTTTTACATCTGCTACGTGGACTCGCACTCTAAATCGACATCTCCAGATGTTCGATGGGTTGTGTTACTTTCGCTGAGGCAGTTATTTATACCACCAGCAATTGATTCTTGCCGCTAAAACCCTGAGATCAAGCCAGTATATCAGTGGAGTTAACAGATGCGATTCATCTGTCTGAAGATACGAGCATACATCTGCGTTAGACGTCTGCAACGATTGCGTGGGAGGAACAAGCGAGCTGCTTACGAATAGCTAATATGGTTTCAGCCATGACGATGGTATGTCCGTTACTAGCGCTGTCCATAAAAAACGATGCACAGCCATGACGTGTGTTTACGAGTGTGCCGGCAACACCTCTGCAACCAGCTGCGGATCCAGAAACAAAAGAGCATGCAATAGAATGAGTCACTTGTGAGTGACGTGACTTGGTGAAGAAGAAGTCCGATCGTTGTCTTTACTCGGCCGGTTAGTCTTTGCTTGTGCTGGATTAGGACGATACCTATGAATGTGTGCGCAGGTTAGCTCTACTGTCACCTTTGATGTCGTCAAGTCAGAACAACGAACAAAATTCAGCAAACAAATGATCGAATGCATAACAATAACGCCGCTTAAGTATCTGTCGTGTGGGTTCTACTGCCTAACACACAGTAAGCGGATCTTACCCCACGAATATGGCTCAAGGTTTTGCGCTCGTCACCAAATTGGGTGATCCCAGGGTAACAAAATCTTCGTCGACGTTCGATGAATCTGTAGCTGTATCGCAAGTTGCACCGATCGTCGGTGTAATTGGTGCTAGCTGTTGCTTCGACTCGGGCGATACGGGTTTCTTCGACTCGGGCGCATTGGGTTGCTTTGAAAAGTGCGATCCGAGCTTGACGAAGATACCCGATAGTATAGATGCCACAATGAGGGACTTTGCCCACACGAGGTAGCCTGCATCGTCAATGACATTGCCCATAATTGCACTCGAAAGACCGGTCGAGAAGTACCCGACTGCGTGCATAATGCCAGTGGCCCCCGCAGCAATTTCCTGAGGTAGATCCGTTGGTACCGTATAGCTCAGCAGTGTGTAGTTTCCGAGAATACACACACTCGCGAGGAAGATGAGGCCTCCCAAAACGAGGACGCTGCACGTTGGGCTTACATAGTAGATGACAGTGAGCACGAGGGCCTGGAGCAGCGAAAAGACGAAGATTGGCTTGACCCGATTCGAGTTGAACACGACGTCACTGATCCAGCCACAGAGAATGCCCCCAACAAATCCTCCGATAGTCCAGGCACCTCCAATGATAGCCGTGTCACTTGATGACAGAGGTGCCACACGCACGTCGTTAAAGAACGAGAGGAACCAGTTGAGGAACCCATCGCGTACCCAGCATAGGAAAAACAATGCAGCGAGGTACCCGAGAAACGTGAAATTCTTCAAAAGACGCTTCATCTGCTGCTTTGGTGTAAGAGGCTCTGCTCCATCTCCCTCTTCACGCGACAGCCGCTGAGGCTCGAGGGGTGCGGCGCATGTCGGTAATTGGTCTGCCGACAGGTACTTTGTGTCGGCAGGGGAACTCTTTACAGTAAACACAATGACGATCGTCACTAGCAAAAGCGTTCCTCCCGGAATGATAAACACGTACGCCCATCCCAGTGACTCAATGATGCTACTTCCTGAGCCCAGGGACAGGAAGTACCCGCTCGTTAGCATGACGTTGAAGACACCAGCAAAGATTCCACGTTCACTTGCCGTATACCACGCAGCGTTGATCTTGACAACAGCACTAGTGCCAAAACCTTGCATCAGGACGTTGGCAGCGTAAAACACAGCGAACAAAGTCTTCGTGACGATGAGATGGGAGTCGCACGTGAGGAAGATCATGCCAAGTGCGAGGTTGCAAATTGCGGCCCCTACGCATGCAACAATCATGCCATTTCGACCACCAATACGGTCGGTAATGATCCCAGTAATAGGGGAGCTGACGGCGTATGCCCACGAACCAGCCGACAAAACCCTGACGTAGTAACATACCACGATGGCAGCAAAGAAAGCGTGAGTGTTGGATCACAAAAGTGCTGGACGAACAGTGAAACAGTGACGTACCAGCCCATGTAGGACGATGAAAAGCCGAGTCGATTACGCACGGCTGAAACATTGCCGGCACTGACGTTGTACCGAGCCATGTAAAACGAAGCATACGCCACACCCATAGGGAACCAGTTTTGTAAGCGGCGCCATCTACAAATGACCAAGTCCAGCAACCACAAGAACAACAGCAATCAATCATCAGTTGGGATTCCGTTGTCGCGAAAAGCTTTGACACGTCTGACTTACCGGTAACCTTTTGAATGAAGCTTTCGTCCTTGAGGACTCAGCTCGACGTCGTAGATGACACTGCAGATGACAAATCCGAGGATCAGTAGCGAGATTACTACCTGGGCATCCATACTTCTGCGCAAGTGTGTGTCTACAGTCCAGCGTTGGTTTGTCGAGAACAACGCAAACTTGAGAATGAGCTAGTTTCGGTTGTCCGTCCTCCGTCCGTCCGTCCGCCGCTCCAAGAGAGACAGAGAAAAGAGACAAAGATAGGGATCGAGAGGAAGGCATGCTGGGCTATGCGATCAGTTATTTCGCGCACGTAGGCGTCATTTCTGAGCCCATTGCGCTCGTCCACTCAACTTGCTGTTGCTGCGAATATCTGCTACTGTAACGGACACGATGGACCCTAATCGACCGCTCTTTCTTTCGAATTCGGAACCCCGGACGGCGGTCAGAAGGACGCAAGTGAAGGTTATCGCCACAAGGCAAGCCAGCAAATAATCATCTGAACTTGTACGGACGTTGTTTCGTGTTTATGCAGGGCGTAAACACGTGGGCCCCGCGTTACTAATGCCGCAGTTCAGATTATTGCTCATGCACTTGAAGCAGATCACGAGTCTCCAATAACGATGGGCAAGTCAAAAGACGAGCGGGTTGTACCCAAGAAAGCGCGAATGGATCGGCCAGAGGTTCACAATTCCCTGGGCTGCGACACGGAGTCCCACACGCTTTGTCTGCTGGTTTCATCGTCGCATCCAGCATGGCCGTTTTAAAAAGGTGCCACCATCAACGAGGCGTTCATGAAACCCACCTGTCCGCCTGGATGAAGGAGAGAAGATGCTTGTTGTCCGTAGTCTCTTAACGCAGCGCCGTTTCTACACCTTCTCATGCGTCGTTTAGCTACACGTTTCATCGGGTTATTATTGATAGGTGACGGCAAGCTCCGTCCATTGTGCGTTTAGATGCCCCGTTGGCTAGCGCTTGTCGTTTATAGCAGAAGCGCACGTAGAAGCAAGGACTTGATGGAAGCGCTTCATTCACTTTTCCTTGTCGTTATTGCAGGCAATTTCACAGCTTCTGCTCTGATCAGATCGGAACGTGATCGCTCGCTCACAATTTCACGACGAAGCTTCCTAGCGAGTGCTTGGTAGCACGTCGCGGATCAGAAGAGCGCCTTTGTCAAGGCTTTTTCGCGTTCGTGCCCTTACCAACAATATGTTTTCGCTGATCGTGATGTTTCTATGTACACGATCGACATGGAGACACAAGAGTCAAGCGGACGACAACGTACGTCAGACGTAGCTGTGATCCTCTTCTTGTCTATCGTGTGGCTAGTTTACGAGACAAGCAAGATCGCTGCTGCTCGCAGCTTTACTTTTTTCTGTGTCGTAACGTGCTCTGCCTTTCTTTCTAGCAATTGAAAGTAACGTACTTCGATTACGAAGTGAAGAGACGAGACCCTATGGCTACAACTTCCAGCTCGCCAGCTGCGGCTCAGCTCACCTTCTCAGCAACTGACGAGCACACATGTTTTTCACTGACCTCATTGTCGTCGACTCGGGCTTGAAGGTACCATTGTCCAACATTTGTCCGTTCAGCTACGATAAGCTCGGAGCTAGCTCAGCTTTCGTCTCCACGTCCACCTCCTTGGTCAGTTGATCGATTGCAAGTGCGACGTCCTCTGGCTGGAAGTCCACGCGCATTTGCAATAGGATTGCGATAGTATCCACCGAAAGCTCTTCACGTACCCGAGCAAGGTAGTCCACCACATGCGAGGGCTGCATGAGGTTCAGGATGAAAATCACCTGAAAGAGTCGGGTAAACGACGCGCGCAAACTCTTCTGAGGCACTAACGTCGATAGTAGTGCGAGGATATCAGTCACCTCACGCTCCAGCTGCAGTGCACCCAATTCGTTACAAGGTTTCTTGACAGCCAGCAGAGCGCATTCGAGACAGGAAGTTATCGCTTTTGCAACGGCTTCAACCAGGTCTTCATATGGAGCGCTGCAGAGTGCACGCTTATAGCGCTGTAGTTCTTGGTTGTGCATCACCTCACGCTCGACAAGTCGTAGCAACGGAGATCCCCGCGAGCCAAACGCATCGTACTCTGCTGACGTGAGCACGTACTTCAGCTGTTCGTTCATCGATAGGCGGATCACTTCCAGCAACCGCTTGCACATTGATCGGGACAGCACTTCCTGCACTTCATTCGACACAATCGAGTGGAAGGCTTCGGTCATGTCGTGGATGGGAGTGGGTAGGCAATCGAGGATCGATGCTTCATGAAGAAAGCCCGTGCGTGAATACTCGTCAATCTTTTCTTGCAGCGCTTGGACAAACTTGCCGCTCATGTAGGCCGAATTGATAGTCATAAGAAGTTTTGCTTCTTCCTGTAGAGCTTGCTTCAAGTCTTCGTCCACTGCTTGCAGTAGCGCATCTGAAAACGACACGCCGTTGGCATTATCAGTGCTATCATCAGATCTAGTGCTGTCACCGTCGATCGAGTTTACTGAAGCCGCTTCAGCAGAACTTGATGGGATCACACACGGTCGACTAAGCAGCACTAATATAGCTGGCAAGTACAGCGACTCCAAAGCGTCTACGAGCGCAATCACAATAGATAAGGCAGTGTGGTAGTTCATGCTACAGAAGCAGCAAAGCAGCAGTCAGTACCGTACAAATTAGCTCACCAGATACAAGCAGCAAGCAAGGGGTAGAATCTCGCCAACACCGTACCATTGAGATGCTCGATAGAACGCTTTATTCAGCACAAACGACACATCTTCGACGACGCTTGATACATAAACACCCGGCTCGAGTTCCTGCGGCTCCGCAATGACCGTCGCTTTCTGCACGGACTGGAACACGTAAAACCGCTCGAGCACCACGTACACGCCGGTGAGCTCCTGCACTTTCATCTGGAATCCACACTGCGCATTCTGCGTTCCCAAGTCTTCACACACTGTCTTAAGGAACGTCGTATAGCTCACCAACACTCGAATCATGAAGGCCACTTCGTCCAAGAACAAGTCAATCATCTGCAAACTCTCGTCCGCCTCAACCTGTGCCTCTCGCTCTCTCGAGTCTCGCTCTGCCTGGGCCTTCGCTCGTCGTTCCCACGCCTTCATGCGTGCATCTCCAGCATACAATTGCACCATCTGCAGCGCCATCTCAGCACACGACGCATGGATCGGCTCCAGCACTTGTCGCAGCACCGGCGTATCTTGCACGACATCGGCCACGGCGTTCATAATCTCCGTCGCGCCTGTCACCAGCTCACTCAGGGCTTCTACGTAAAACACGCGGTCAATGTAGCCATGTTCATTCACGTGCGCCGTGGCTCGGCTGCTTCTCACGCGCTCGAGTCGAGCCTGGGCTTGGACAGTAAAGAGACCGTGTAAACAGCTGGCAAACGGCGTTGCCGCGTCACGCGCAGCGCCCAGCGTGACGCAGTGCATAAACGCGGCAAGCGCCTCGTCTACATCGACGTTCGGGCCGGTGCAGGCGTGTCGCAATTGCACGAGCGACAGGTCGTGCAGACGGTGCGCTTTGAGCTCGCAGCTGCGCCGGATCTCGTCGCGTACGGACAACGACGCGGCGTTGTCCTTGTTGCTGTCGCTGGTGGGAGGGAGGGGGAGGGAGGACGTTGACGCGAGGCGCATGTGGTCGAGCGCGTGGCAGACGCGGGCGACGTGGAGGTCCGCGAGCGCTTCGTGGAACGACGTGACGCTGTCTTCGAAGCGCATGGGAAGATGATGACGATGATGACGATGATGACGTTGCGTGCGACACGACGTGACGTGACGGACGCACGGACAGATGGTGGAGAGGTGGTCCGAGGGCGAAAACTATGGAATGGAATGGAGAGGCGGTAGGATGGGGACCTCACATCGCCAGACGAGGCTTTGAAACAGGGGCGGACGACGGGGTTTTGAGATGGGGCGTTGGTGAACGGAGGGTTGGGTGATTGAGATAAAGGTGGAGGGATGGGTGATTTCGGTCAAGGTGGAATCAGATGATCGACGACGATCAGTTGATAGTCGGACCGATAAATGGAATCGATTCGTTTTGGCGTCAACGCTTTTATCGGCGTCTAGCATCTGATCCGTGAACCAGGTGCTTCTGCCTGCGGCTCTCGTGCTACTTGGCGACAAGGGGTTGAATGACCGCACTCGTTGCTGCAAAGACGTCGTCCACATCGCGCGTGGCATCGACTTTGAACACCTTGTCCTGATCCTCATAGTGTCGGATCACGGGCATGGTCGAGTCCAAGTACGTGCGAAAGCGCTTGCGGATGGCCTCGGCATTATCGTCCGATCGGCCGCTCGTCTTGCCGCGCTCAAGCAGTCGCTGCTCCATGACCCGCTCGTTGCAGTCAAAGAACAGCACCCCTTCCACGTGGAACTCGTCTTCCGGCATGGCTTCTTGCCAGCCCTGCAGGTTGTCAAAGTTGCGCGGGAACCCGTCAATGAGGAACAGGTCGCGGCCGCTCTTGACCATCGCCTGCTGCAACAGACTGAGCGTGATCATCACCGGCACGATCTGACCTTCTTTGATCATGTTGTCGATGAGTTGACCATTGGCAGAGCCCGACTGACGCTCTTCACGTAGCAGATCACCCGCCTAGAATACGGGACAAGGGCAATCGGGACACGTCGCGTCAGTCTTTTTTTCGTATAAGTATACCATCCTCTCCGCACGTCACGACGGAGGAAGGCATGAGGACAGCTACAAGTAAGTAGCGGGCGGCAGCCTATCATAGTCCTTTATAGTAGTGCGTACCGATAAGTGAACAAAGCCAAACCTCTCCACGAGCTTCGTGCACTGCGTGCCTTTGCCGGCGCCAGGACCACCTAGTACGAACAGGATCTTCTTGGTCAACATCAGGTTTGGACAAAATATGACCTGCGTGCGTGCGGACAAGTTTTCGTGGACAAGTGGTCGTGCACTTTTTGTCACCGCCTACACTAGGATCCTGGTCGAACCTGACCGACCGACCGACCAGCCGACCTTCCAAATTTAATGGATCGGCCCCACCTTCGGGTCACTTCGACATGAAAGCAGAGGATCGCTTCAAGCAGCCGCACAAAGCCGCCAGCGCCATGGACGCTGCGCACCACGTGGTGATCGACATGGCAGGAAGCGCCTCGTTGGATGTGGCGCTCGCTCGTGAAGAGGCGCTGACACGTTTCCGAGACATTAATTGGGCGACGTACACGCGGTACGACCCGATTGCGTTGTGTGGAGGAATCCTGTATCAATACATAGAATCTTTAAATTAATATGCGGTCTTGTTCCTGCTATTGTTGCATCGGTGGTACGGTTTGGAATAGTGCGGGCGGGTTCAGCCTAGAGAAGACGGAGATTGCTGCATTAAAAGACCTGGAAAAAGTGATCAAGTCCAGTCCTGAGGAGGCCGTGAACGTGAGGACCGAACACTGGGATCAAATACGGGACTCTCATAATTAATATGCACTTGCACTCACGTCTTGCATCTTTTTGCGACCTGCTTGTGTTAGGCTCATGCTGTAGATGAGTTTATGAGTGGTACCGACTCTGCACACACGTCGTTTCATGCTTGTTGGAGTCTCACTGTTTTTGCTTGGATTGATGATATTGTAGCTGCTGGCTCTTCGGTGGGCAGCGCCCTGCTCAAATTAATCAAGAACGTGACGGACCCTACAGTTCTCAAGTACTGTCTCGCTCGCATGGAGGAACTGCTGCCGGGTAAAAAAAGCGAGAACCAGTTTGTGAAGCTATGTCATGGATTCTTACTGGACTCCTTGTGTTGTTTGCTGATTCTGATAGATGGACTGCGTCTGCGTAAGCGGATGGTGTACTTTGTGCCAGAAGGCAGTACTGTGGATGCAGCACCATTCTTTAGGATGATACGCAATGACACGGGCTATATGCAGTTTGCTGCTAGCCACTTGCTTGCCCTGTTTCTTACGTACGCGATACAAGATGAATGGGTGGTATCAGTGAGGCTGTATTAATCAGATGTATGGCGTGCGTGTATGTTGATAATTTCCAGAATCCGGCCAAGGCAGGACGATGCCGAAGTTTTGAGCCAGTGGGCGATTCAAGCTTTCACGACGGGCTCGTTGCAGGCCTCAACGAACGACCCGAACCGCGCAAACAGTACCCGTGCTGCGGCTGCGTCCTTGATGGTGCTACTGCGCAATGAGTCGTTGCGAGTGCTTTTCGTTAAACTAGGGGGCGTGGCTACGTAGGTTATATTGCTTTTGCTGTTGGCATGACCGCATGTTCACTCCTGTCTTGTGTCGGGCCAACAGCGTGGTGAACTTACTGGAGTGCTCCCAGAACCGCGCACAACTTGCGTATGAGGTGCGCTCTACAGCAGACAGATTGTGGTTCATTTGAAACGATGCTGAGAATGATATCGATCTCGTGCAATTTGTTGCAGCTTACCTTCATTCTGTGGACCTTGGCATTCTGCGATGAAGCTTTGGAAAAGTTTGCGGCTGCCAATGCGTTGGACGCGATCGTACTTCAAGTGGCGGCAGCCCCGCGTGAGAAAGTCGTGCGTGTTGCTCTAGAAGCTCTTCAGGTGAGAGAACAGAGTCGTGATATTGTAAATCATTGATGTTGCTGATCGGTGTTTCGATCCGACGCAGAACTTACTTGGCAAGCTGTGTGGCTACTTTAACGAACGCATGATCGAGAGCGGGCTTATGAAGACTTTGAACAACATGCGCGAACGGAAGTGGGCCGATGAAGATATTGTAAAGGGTATCCAAGCTGTCCGCGACGTGCTCATTCGCGAGTACAAAGAATTGAAGTGAGACGGCAACTTTACCTGATCAATGTTTTGTATGCTGAGCAATGAGACTGATCGCCTTGATCAACTGATGTGTATCACGATGTACGCTGTGTCTAGCACTATGGAGCGATACGAAAAAGAACTACGAACGGGAACTCTAAACTGGGGCCTCCTGCACACGGACAAGTTTTGGAAGGATAACTTCATGACGTTTGAGAAGAAGGAATTTGAACTTATCCGGTAAGCGACAGGATCACGTGGAATGGTGTTTGGCTTTCGTCTTATTTTGGCTACTAACGCTGGATCCGACTGCAGGTTGTTGATTGACTTGCTGGAATCTGACAAGCCCAGGACCGTGGCTGTGGCCCTTTTCGACGTGGGCGAGTTTGTGCGCTTCTACCCGAATGGCAAACACATTGCCAAGCGACTTGGAGCGAAGAGGGTAGCAATGAAGCTTATGACACACGAAGATGGCGAAGTGCAGAAACATGCCCTGCAGTGCATCTCAAAGATGATGGTCAACAAGTGGGAGTTTGTCAAGTAAGCAGGAAGCGGTTAGCAGACTCGCTGCTCTGTTACCCGGTTTTACTTTTACGAGTGGAGCGCCGCAACGTATGTTGAGGACGGCTGAGTGCAGTCAAGGATTCAGCAAAAGCCCACGTAGGTCGGCAATCGATGCTTGTATAATTGCTTGAATGGCATGCAAGGTTCAGCAGCAGCGTTCATTATCGTGTATGACACCATTAGCAGCTCTTCCAATGAGGCATTTGACACCATGTTCCATGAATGCACTTGCTGCTGTTGCCAGGTACAGACAAACCACAGCAAGTCCGTCGTGGCTTCTCAACGAGTGGTGCCTTAACTGTTGCTCGTGCCGTCTTCACATTATTCAGCCATCGTCCACGCGCGCCAGAGACCGATGGCAGCTTCCGCCGCGCAGAGGAAACTCACGAGGCGGTCTGAAGCAAGCGTGATAAGATACATTCAACTTTTGAGCAACGCATGTCTGCTGTCAAGTACCAATGCAAAGCAGTACATTTGCGCACATACCCGAGAGAATTTTTCTCTCAAAAGACCACTGAATGCACGGGCCAGCATTCAAAAGGTTGCGCAGTTGCACATATTTTAGTTCGCGACACCTGCAGTCGCAGCAGTTCCCGTTGACCTGAAATTAGCGACTAAAAACAAAATAAATAGAGCCACAGTCGAAACGTACCGATCTCGGATACACGTGAGGAGCGTCGAGCGCTACAAAGCATCGAAGAGAGAGAGAGACAGAAAATCATCACATTTTAATCAGCAAGTAAATACAAATAGATCGCCACGACCTCAGCCGCTAACAGCGACGTATTTCAATCACCTCATCATCCGTAAGATCTTTTCTGGCCAGGAGCTGCTTTTTCTTCGCCTTTAGTGCTCGAATCCTGCCACAAAATGGTAACAATAAGACACACCAACAGCCTCGCTGTCAATTATCCGGTTTATTGGATTAAATCCTCCCAAACAAATATCCATCACTTGAACGTACCGAAGTGCACTCGCATAAATATCCAAAAGAACGTAAACGCCCCACGCTCGACACGAGAGCCGAGAGAAACGCATCGCGTCGACATTCAGCAGTGTAGGCGCGCTACGTGGGACACACCAAGTATCCGCGATAAAATCTCGATAACCGATCAGTTTTTCCCGGAGCCCGCTCGTCCGACCAAAAAGTATCCAACTATTCTTTTATCCAACATTGAATTTTATCCACACACAAATACCCACACAAATCCCACATACGAAACGTGCTCGAGCGGGTGATAGACGACCATCGACAGCGCCTGCAGCCGCACGAGACGCTGCACGTGCTCGTCATCGTCTTCGCAGCTCCACAACCCCTTTGTCAACGCCGTATACGCCTCCAAGCCGCCAGTGAAGCGCAGGACGTAACGCGCCATCGAGATATTCGAGGCCAGCGCGTGGATATTCTGAGCCGTCTCTGGCTGCGCTGTGGGCGCGAACAAATACGCAGCGGCATCCAGTCCATACCCAATGGTCTTGTACAGCTTATCAGCGCCGGGCGAGCTCCTGCTGAAGCGCACGAGCTTGTCGACGTCAAGGAGCGCTGTCATGCCTTAGTTTTCGGATAAAATCTAATTGGCTCGGCTCGTTTTAAACTGCTATCGTGTCGTCAAACCTGCTATTGTATTGGCAAACCTGCTATCGTGCTGGTAAACCTGCTATCATGTCAGCAAATCTGCAATCGTGTCTTTCCAACACGATAGTAGTTTTAACAGGGCCGGGCAACACCGCTTATGCAGCGCAGCAATATCGTCCCGTGACTGTTTAGACACACGTCCGAATTATCTCGATATGCCGAGCCGTTAGAGCAGTCGAACGCTCAGGAGCCAGACGCGGGGCCTCACTCTACTGGCTTCCTGCCTCACGATAGCCGTTACAAACGGGACGGGCAAATCGCGTCATGACGCCAGTCCGTCACTTGCACATTGTATACCCGCCACCAGCTGCTGCCTCTCGGTCGTCCGCTCGCGTCGCCCCGCATGTTCGTCGTCGTCGTCCTTTGCGTCAGTATCGAATCTGGTAAACAGACAGAACGACACGCCCAGCGGCACCTCAACAGCAGAGAAATCACGACCACGTCGAAACGCACGTCGCGTCCAACGTGATCGACGCTCGCTCTGGATTATTGTGATCTCTGGTCCAGGAACTGACGGGACGGAGCGCAGGTCTCGCTTTGCTCGCTGACTGTGCGGTTCTTGGTACTAAATGCTCATGTGACTGACTGACTGACTGATTGTCTGATTGTCTGTACATTCTTGGCTGCTTTAGAGCCATGTACCGAGACGGGTATCTTGTCAAATGCGGACGCAGTGCGTCCGACCCTCCAGTAAGCTGCTGTCTTTACTACCCTGGACGTGGTCTCTCATTGCGCACTAAACAGCGCCATTCCTGTGGATCGTGCCTTGCTGTTGTGTAGCACTTGCTCTTCTGCGTCTTTGAAGACGGCGTGGTCAAGTTCTACTCGGAAAAGGGCGGCCTCGAAGTCGGGGAGCTCGAGATGGCCGGCCACGTGACCAAAGTGCGTGTGGAAAAGGCGGTGCCTGGGAAGTTCCCCTACCGCTTCTCGGTCTCAGCTGCTGAGGTGGTGCGGGTGGAAGGCCGGCGCATGAAACTGGGCGAGTCCCGCGTGACGGAATTTGCCGCTGCAACAAATGACCTCATGAAGGAGTGGGCCAACTCGCTGCATCTGTGGCGCCGCATGAACTGGAAGGAGAACGTCAAGTTCTTTGATGCTACGAGCGAACTTTCGCAAGCTCAAGAGCTCGAGACGCTGCAGCGCCAGATGCACTCGGTCAAAATGGCTCGTGGTCGCTCGTTGTCGGGGGGTGCGTTTCGAAAGCCGTTTGAGCACATGATGCACGGCCAGTCGTCGCCTACGATCAAGAAGCTGCGGCAGATGATGCGGCAGACGACAACGACGGCGTGCACGGGTGCTGCATGATGAGACCGTGAAGAAAATTACTATTTGGCGAGAGAGAAAGAGAGAGTCACATCAACGTACCCCCGAGTGATCGATCGATCATCGCCGCGAGTGCCGTCATGTATACATGTCTTGAAGCTGAGCTGCTACTACCAGGGCGTCGACAATGTCGGTTCGACAGCTATCGAAGTCAGTTTGTGCATGGTGAACCACCGAGTATTTAGGACCCAGCTCAAGTGCCGTTGCCCGAATCCCATGGACCGAAATCGTCACTGAACGAGGAGCTACTTGGCTGTGACTTTGCATCTGGTGGTACAAAAAGGAACGGTGATGGTGGACGAGTGAGTAAGAGGAAGCTGAGAGACTACGCATGTGGAACAAACTCCCACCGACTCGGTACAGGTTCAATTCTTGATAAATAAACGACGTGTCTGTGTCCAGCCTCTGCTCTACTTGTTGCCCCCAGCACGTCGCAACTAGCTCGGCGATGCATTCTTGGCCGTTCGAGCTGCTTCCAGGTGCGTCAGAACCGCCTGGTGGATCCAATCCGAGTCCACTTGATCGGCACCTCCTCGTAGCCACGAATGCTGCAGCGCTTCCGTCACAGTGATACGTTCATTCGGAGCTCGAAGCATGGACGTGATGAGGTGTCGAGCTCCAGCTGAGACTGTCCAGAGCACCTGGTCAGGCTGCGACTTCCAAAAGGACGCAAAGTCTCGAGCTAGAAGAGCGTCGTACGAGACGTCGCCTCGCTCGGCTCGATCGAATGGTGGCAAGCCCGTCAACAGGATGAACAGCACGATGCCAGCTGACCAAACATCCACAGGTGGTCCCCGGTAAAAGCCTTGTGAAGACTTGACTTCCGGGGCCATGTACAGTGCCGTACCGCTCTCATCTCGAAGCATCAAGTCGTGCACCTGCATCCCCAAAGGAGCAGTAGCCCCAACGCCAAAGTCCGCGAGTTTGAGCTGATACGTTGCATCCAGCAGCAAGTTCTCGGGCTTGACGTCCCGATGGACGACCCCATTGGCATGACAAGCTGCTAGTGCCCGTAACAATTGACACGTGTAGACTTTTCCTAGGGGTTCTGGGAGCGCTCCACTGGTCTCGAGTAAGTCAAATAGGTCACCGTTGGGTGCAAACTCCGTCACGAGTGCCACGTAGTTGCTCGAACGAGTAACTAAGTGATCGACTTGCAGTACATTTGGATGCTGTATGCAAGCCATGGCGTGGAATTCGTGGATTAGTGAGGACACTTGGTGCTGGAGCTCCTGGTCTGGTGGACACTTGGTGATCCCTGATCTGGGACTCACTGGTGGGAAGCCTGCAGGGACTTTGATTGCAACGTCACGATGGACAAGATGGTCGTATGCTAAGAGGACGCGACCGTGGAGACCCGATCCGAGCTCGTGGTAGATGGTGTAGCGGCTTTTGAGCGGCTGGTGGTCACTTGCTGGAGAGTGGAGCCATTGAGAGGAGGAGGAGGAGCAGGTGGTGTCGACGAACATGAGGGTTTGAGTTCAGGTTGGATGGAGGAGGAGAGCCGAGTGGGAAGATGAGGAAGGGAAGGAGGTGGTAGGCAGCGTTGGATTGATTGGACTTCTGGCTTTGGTAGGCGGGAGGGTGTTGTCATCAGGGCTTTGAACGGCGGAAGCTGGACAGCGGGTTAACGTGGAGGAAGTGGTGGAACATGTTGGTAGGTTGTCCTGGTTGAAGGCAAGTTGAGGGTCTGAAATCATGGCAGAAGAGCAGGAAGTCTGTGGCTCGCACGAGCAGAGACAACCAAAGAGAGAGAGAGACACACACTTTGGACGGTATCAGTTGCAACATGCCAGTGCTGATTCCTCCAATGTGGTATCGCATCAGGATGCTCTGGACGACGAAAGAGGCGACTCTGCATATTGAAGATAGAGCGCTTAGAATCTAAAAGACTGGATGGTGTCGGTTTCATTTACGGTTTTTAGACGTCGCTCGGTCGCGAGGGTCGACTGCAAGAAGTATGTTCTTGACAGTGTGAACTTGGTGCGGGCAATGTCGTAACTATAATGACGTCAAACGTGTGCGGTGCTTGCTGATTTGCACGGCATTGTGATCCTTTTGGCGCACGAGGACGTTGTAGCTCTGCTGATGTGATGAAGGCATGAAACTTCTCAGCAGACCTTAAGACGCAGCGAGCACGAAACGACGAACTGATCGAGTCCATGTTTAGCTCCATGTGGCTTGCTAGCAATCTTCTTGTCGACGGACGCAATCTGCACGACAAATGGCAAGGGAAGAACATCAATGTAGAAAATGTGAAGCTACTTGCCTGCTTGCAGGCTCCGAGGTCACCTACCTGGACCACCAACAACCACACCTGCAGCTTTGCCACTCCAGCTCTTCCTTTTCAAGCACTCGAGCTTCCACTGCTGGTCATCACATGAAAATGATCCCAAGCAAATGTCGACCGACACCAACTCTCTCAAGCCTTTTCAAGCTGCACTGACATCCTTCTATTTTTGACACCGCAAATGTGCGTTCAACCTCTTTTCCTACGCCATCAAAGCTCGATAGCTCTCGTGTTTTTTCTGTGTGTGTGTCTTGATTGAACGCCCAGCGTCTTGTGCGCAGCTTCGTCTGCAGTTTGTGCAGCACCATCTAGCTGTCTTCCAGATTGATGCTCTGACCAAAGCGGCTGTACAGCAATTTCTTCAACTCCTAAACACGAAAACGTCACGATCTCGTCAGCTTTAGCGTCTCACCTACACTAGTGCCTTCTTTTGTAAACAAATTCCTTACATCCTGTCGAGCTTCCAGTTGGGACTCCACTGCTTCCAGCTTGTGCAGTTCCTCTTTTGCTTCCTACAGAAAAAGAATACAAGATTCCGTTTTCACTCTTTTTAGAAAAAGACGAGAAGAAAGTGCTTTTTACATCGCACCTCGACGCGCTTTTCAATGTACTCCTGAGCTGCCTCCTCGGATGTTTCGACAAAACTCTCACCAATCAAAAGCCTAGAAAGCACACATGATCAACTGTTAATCGCACAAAATCAACCGTCGGTATCTGGATAATTTGAAATCCGGATACTATCCACACATACTGGACAGCGTCCCCTTCGCCCATCATGACGTCCGTACTGGCGTCATCGAGAGTATCGAGCGTCTCTTTGAGAGCCTTTTTCTGGTCGCGCACGTCGTGCAGCTGCGCGTTGTTGCGTCCGAACTCGTTGATACGTAGCTGGTCTTCCTTGCGGACCTAGCGTGGATACACGTGCAGCGTGAGGGTCCGATAGATACTTTTTAGATAAATCGATAGAACGATCGACACACACGGGTAGGTGGATACATGTATAGAATGATACATAACGATAAATACGGATAGTCGATAAAGGAGGTGTCAATTACCGTTACGGTCACTTACATCCGCCTCGACTTCTTGCTGTTGCGCGAGCATGAGATTGTTCCTTCTTTTTACTTGTCAAATTCGCGTTCGACGTGGCCCAGTCAAAAATGCTCTAATTTGAGATAGAGTACCGGAATACGGTACAATTCTTGATCGAGAGCAGATCTAGAATGAACGCTCAGAAATTCACGATTGAATTTAGCGGATCGAGACGGATACGACGAAGTGCAGTGTGCATAGAGTAGCAGCCCAAATCAAAAACTTGCGCTTAAAGCATCTGTTCACTGCGAATTAAAGTATGCTTCACACCCGTTGACGGATAGAGTTAAAGCAGAATCTACGTTATCGAGATAGAGTAAAAGTAGCACAGTATACGATCAACAATGCAAGTATGTTGAAGAGGAGGAGGCAAGTGTATGTAGTACTGCAGTTACAAATGGCTCAAGCGATCGAAAGTGTCGGCATATCCTTCCTTCCTGATAAATTTGCGGCACGCGAGCGCTTCGTGCGCAGACTGACGAAGGCCCAAGTAAACGTTCTTCCCCACAGGACAAATCGAGCTCTGCAGTGCTACAAAGTCCGCACCCTGCACCTCAATAGTCAGCACTGGCACCGTCAGGTTAGTGCAGAAACATGCCGTCGTTGAAACATCCGTAGGCTTTGTACAGATGCGCTCCATTCTCACTCGTGTACTGCACGTCTTGTTTCGTCGATAGTGCATTGCGTACACTATTCCCTAGTGTTTGCATCCTCGAGCCAAATGGTTCGTCTCCGCCACCTGGTTAGTTGCTAATGGACGCAGCACTTGACCACCAAACGCGTGCATGTCCGACATACCACCCAGTGACTTCAAACTCGTGATGAAGTGAAAGAGACCAGCAGCAGACTGTTCACTGAGCGGATATGCGCCAGAATACGTTTCGCCATTCACGATGCTCGGGTCGTGGCTGAAATAGTCTTCAGGTGGCCAATTTCGATTCAGATCCACGTCAACTTTGTGGCCATGGACCTCCACCAAGTGTCGACTGGCGCGCCACATCCTGTCCACTTCCCACGTATACTGATACCGTCCACATTGACAATTGGCACGAAGTACCAGTCCAACTTGTCAAACATACGGAGAGCAGCCTCTTCTCCAGCTCGCAAGTCATCTAGCATCGAGGCCATCGCGTAGAGCGTCGCAGCCTTAGCTCGCCACTCTCGAGCATGGAGAAGCGCCTGTATGTAGAGTGTCCTCTTTTCAGGCGATGATACCTTCGTGGCATTTAACGTGGTCGAGATCCTAAACCCTGGAATCGCGCGTCCTTCGTACGTCACTGACACATTGTCGAACTTGGTCATGAACTGCAGATTCTGCTGCACTAACGTGTCCAAGAAGTCAAAGACCTCGTGTGACGGTCGAAAACAGTCAAAGAAAGGGGTCTCTGTGTACACAATCTGGTCACTGGACCCGTCTTCTGTTTCCCGTTTTAGCTCATCCAAGTACCCCTCGGACCCCTGCAAGCACGCCATAGTTTGTCCTCAATCGTTTGCAATAACTTGAGCTTCATTGTACATTTTGTGATCAATAACTTTCAAATGGGACGACGTGGTCGAGATCGTGCCTCGAATGTGCTTTTCAGTCAGCACTTCAGTAACTGAATGTAAATGTCCCAGCAGCAGCAACAAATGCCTGTACGTCCTTTATCGACCCCCACAATATCGGCCCTTAGTTTCGTCTCCTCAGTGATTAACAGATGGTAGTCGTGAATGGTCTTGAGATTGCGAATATCGAGATTGCTATGAGGGGCTTGTAAGGCGGTATCCATCGTGGCGTTGGGACCTTCGATGGTTTACCGGTGTCTTGATGCATAATAGCGACGGTCGTGACGATACCCCAAATGAATGCGACAAATAGAGAGGAACAAACTCAGGATTGCTATGACAATGGGCAGTCGACTCCTGGCCTTCATAGTTGACAGTAGGAAACTGTGACTATATCAAAATGGGAGCGATTCAACCCTCTTACACGGCTGACTATGAAGCTGGCGTAAGAACAATCAGATCCTGTACTACAAGATTCGCAAGTGTTCATTTGCTTATGACAAGCTATTGTATCCTTTTTCTCTAAAAGAAGACAAATGCTAAACGACTGGGTTTATTTTTATTCGGCTAGGCCATTCTGATTCGTTATCAGAAGTAGCTCAGAAATACATCCAATTTCGTCAGGAGTCAATGTACTCATTTCACCATTACTGTTTACTCACTTGCCCGTGCAAAGCTCAAAACGACGATATCAGTGCAATTTGCGGCTAAGACCCTGCTACAGTCCTTACTTCCTGGCCGAACTCCAATCCCATGAGCAATAACAACAAAGGTGCGTTTTAGTTCGTGCACAATAATCCATTCTGGGAAACTCGTAAGTGCGGCTTTGTCACCGCAGCCGTCTGCGATACACTTGGACGTGCCGCATCCTCCTCGTCGTGTCTATATGGCGATGGCACAAACACCTTCGTCTCGAGTAAAATGTGTTCCTCATGAACTGGGCTGTGCCCTGTATGCTTGCGTTGCCGATTGGAAGACACGCTGAATCGTACTGGCAGAAGGGCATCTAGCCAATTGCAAACAAGGTGGTAAGTCCTTCATTACGGGGAAGATGACATGGCATTTATGAAAGGCGAGCTTGATCTTTCACCAGATAACATCATCTGGAAGAGCTATATGTAAATCAACTCCGATTGAGGTCGTGACGCTTGCACCAAAGATGTTTTGATCAGCAAGTGCAGCTATAGAGATGGAGTGCTGGGTCAAGCCGGTGCGTACGCACATTTAATCTCATTCAAAAGTCAGATACGTGGCTATTTTCATGATGAGCTGCTGGAACGCTTACGAATCAGGAGAACCGAATGTCCAAGTGATGGAGTTCTGATTGCGATACCTGTGCAGACGCCATGGATTGAGAAGTACCATCCGCTTCCAACATACTAGGGAAATAGTAAAATGTGCGCGGAAATGGTAAGTAGTTGAATTCGAAGGGGTAGTGATCTAACATACGTTTAAAGAAAATGGTTGCTGGGTAAACAATTGGCAATACAGATATCGGTCATTTACAAACTAGTAATAATCAAGGCCGCTTACTTGACGCGTCGTAGATTAGCGCACGCAAGTAATGGATCCGTAGTTATTAATGGATTCAAGAGAGGCATAAACGGATGATTTCGGTGCCACAAGCAGCGGCAATCAGCCCTCGATTACATTCTTATGCGTGATACAAATGCGGCCAATGTGAACGGTGTGGGGATGAGCCACAATTTGGTGCTGCATCAATGCGTGAGCCTCGTGCTATTTTGCACGGGTAAGTGAGTAAACAATAATGGTGAATTGAGTATTTTGGATCGACTCCTGCCGAAAGTGGGCGTGTTTCTGAGCTACTTCCGATAGCGAATCAGGATGACCCAGTCGAATAAAATGAGCCCAGCCGTTTAGCATTTACCTAAAAAAAGAGAGTTGATAAATTCACACCCCTCGTCAAACCTGGTATTCTTACCCTTCCTGCTAAGCCTGATATTTGCCTTCTTACGCCAAACCAGATGTCATTCCTCCAATTCTTCGTACTGTTTCTCCACCTGCAACAATCGAAAGAGTGTCATGTTATATTGTATAACTACAGTCACTCCCTTCTACGCTAATATAATCGCTTGACAGGAGTTCACCTTCAAGGGCCACATGAGATACGTCCTGTGATCAAAGCTATAAATGCAATAAAAAGGAACCAATCAAGAGTGTGTCTTGGCCGTTTTGTGGATTATTGAAAGGGGCGATCACTAGGTAAAACGACGTCATTATCAAGTTCATCGCTATTCAGTCTGCGAATTGATTTACACACACCAAATGCTACTATTCTACATTTTAAGCTTTGGTCCTATAATTTATAAAGTATTCATAGCAGCTCTGGTGAAGCAATCGAAAAAAAATTCTTTAACAGAGCTGTTATGAATACTTTCCTTGAGCTCCTGTGATGTCCGTCCGGTCCTCGTTCGCATCTACTACAGGCAGTCTGGTCAAAATGAACAGAATATCGGAATTTAGATTCAGATGCACTGATTACGCATAAGTATGTCGTTGTGATCAGCTTTAACGAACTCTCGTAGTAGCTCCATATAACGAACGCACTATAGATGTTTATTTTGATAAAACATTACACGATTGAGGAAGGATTCACTATTTATGGAAGCGTTCAACATCCACCCCCTCTCACTAAGTACCCACCCCCTAAAACTTACCGTGCTCTGGTTGGTCGATAAAGATAAATGCAACGAACAACCGATGAAATTAGTGTAGATGGTAGGCACAATCAACGGCCCCGTCCGCTAAGCTTGTGCATCTGTTATTATTCCATTTGCGTTATGGAAACTCAAATTGTTCTACACGACCGCTTCTTCGGCTTGGCTTCATACGCTTACTTTGGCCGCTGCGCACAAAAGGCGCATTTAATTGTGAGCACTGATAGTATTTTACCTCGACGTCACCTTCCTTCCTCCTGCCAACTGTAGGCAAGATGAATGCTGAGAGAAGGAAGCGGTAGGTAAACAATAAGATTCTGTATTCAAGCTTATTGTTTCTCATTCTACCGCGCTCTTCAATAAAGCCTTTCCACCACTCATCTTGCCAAGCAGCTGTCCTGCTCTCTTACCATCTAAACGGGTGACCCCAATTTGACACAACGCGCCGAATATACGATCGACCCAATAGCACATTTCTTGCTTTCCTGCACCAACCCTCTTGGTACGCTTGGAAACTCCGAATACAAAAGAACACAATTTAAATCGAAAGAAATTAGGTGCTACGATCTTTTGTCAAAAGATGAACAACGCAGATTGATCGTTAAGGTCTCAAATTATATTGTAAGTAAAAAAGGAAGTGGAAAAGTATCGATTACATATCCCTGTGACGTTGCACAGGCTTTAAATTAGCTTGAGCCTCAGAAAGAAAAGCATGTGCCAGTGTCATGGACGGTGTATCGGCGCTTATTTTCAAGGAGTTGTGAGAAAAGATAGTTGCAAGAGGAAGGTGGTTTTTCTATTGTACCTGCAGTTGGTGAGAAAAGTGTTCGTTTCATTCCTTGTCTGACCAATCGGATATTTAAATTGCAAAGCTTTCATTTTTTTACTACCAATTATAGCATCGTAATTGTGTGGGGGTGGATATACATTGCGAGGGGTGGTGGAAGCTCAACACCTCTCATTTTTTATTGGTGCATAAACTCTATCCGGCTGAACGGAGGACACTATTTTTAGTATTTAGTATGCGATTGTTATCATGATTTGCGTACAGTCTTCCCTCTGCTAAGGTATCCCCGGCTACGGAATAACCTCCGGTAAGTTATAGGATTCGGTCTCCACCGACCTCGTTCTATGGTAACTACGGAATAAGTTATACGGAATAGCCTGAGGGCCAAATACAACTTATCAGAGGGAATATTTTTGTCCGCCGTGAGCAGAAATATTGTACGCAGAACCTTTTTTTTGTTATTCACTGCAAGAAAGGAGTGGAAAGAGGAGAGGGAACTACTTCAGCCAGGAATCAAGTGTGGCCTGAGTGGTGCTCGCACTACGGAGATCAGCTTGGACTTGGCGAAGGGTCCGGTGAGCTATACGATGGGACTCCTGAGAAAGGTCGAGAAGGGCGATGGATAGACTAAGACTGGCAAGCTTTTCAGCCTTCGAATGCTTTTCCACCTCCTCCTCCGCCTCAGCAGCACCTTCCTCCTCCCCATACGGATCCTCAACAAGCTTGATGATTTCGGCATCGGTCAGCTCCGCATGCGCCGTCTCCTCCTCCTCAGCCGGATTGAGAAGAGAAGCGATCGACATGGGATTGCGGAGCGGGAGCCTTTCCAGCGCCGAAACAAGATCCTGTTCCACGCGCTGCTCCCCTACTGCAGCAGCTGCTGCCTCCTGCTGGGCCTGCTGGCCAACAGTGCCGGCTTCGTTTTCACCCCCACCAGTCGGCAGAGCTGGACCGTCCATGAGTCCCGTATGACGGAAGCAGTTGGCGATTGTGGCACTGGAAATCTCGCTCCACGCAGCCAGCGACCAACGCATGGCCGTGAGCTGATCAACCTTGTAAAGGTTGGTTTCTCCGCGCTCGTCACGGTCCAAGGCATTCTGCAGATGCAGCCGGCGGTAGTGCCTCTTGAATGCGGCAATAATCCCAGCATCTATGGGTTGGACCTTTGAAGTCGTATTAGGAGGAAGAACCTGGACCGTGATGTTGGTGAGTTCCAGGTCAGCAACAATGTGTGAAGGAGCGTTGTCCATGAGAAGCAGGATTTTTCTATCCTTTTGCTGTGGTCAACGCGTTAGTCAAACCTCCTTTACTGTACCACAACGATGATGTTCAAGGCATGCCCCAAATTACCTTCATACTTTTGTCGACGTCTCCCAGCCATTCCTAGAAGAGTATGCCAGTCATCCAGGTTTTCTTGTTGTTGCGGTAGAGAAAGCCCAGTCGCTCAGCTGTCTTGTTCTCAAAACACCGCGGCTTTTTGGCGTGTCCAATGAAGAACGGCGGGAGTTTTTCGGATCCATCAGCGTTTGCCGTGAGAGCAACTGTGATGCGCGTCTAGAATAGTTGTTAGTGTCAGAGAAACGCAGGAAACCAAGAGGAGAGCAATAATGTACCTTGTCTTTTTTAAACCCTTCGACCTCTTGCTGGGCGATCGTTTTGTCGGGCTTCATACTGTAGAACAAACATGAACAGAAAGTGAGCCTTTGAGATGCTTCTGTACTGTACAATGAGTACAGTACTGTACTGTATTCTCAGACCTACCAGTTTCGTCCATGTTGTACACGTCACGTGGCGCATAACCAGCAACCACGGCCTTGAGGTGTAGAAGAGCCTCCTCTAGAGCGCCCATATCTTTTGCTGAGCCACTCTCGCCATAAATGCGGACAGCTCGCAGTTTGTGGCGTTGCTGGAATTTGTGGAGCCACCCATGCGAAAAGCTGATGTTTTCCTCCGAGACGCCCATTGATCCCGCAAAGGTCTGAGCCTTGGCCCGTATGAGATCTCCAGTGAGAGCGACCCCACGGTGCTGGCACTGCAAGACCCAGAAGGCGACGGCCTCCTCCACAGCTGGGTGCTGGACAGTCCGAGGACGCTTAGCGCTGAGGTCAGTGGTGTCCATTGCCTCAAGCTCCTTCCTTTTTTTGATGATTTTGCTGATCGCTGCCTGGGAAAGTGCCTTCTGGAGGTCAAAGGCGTCCTTTGTCCAAGCCGCCAGGGCAGTCTGGGTGATGCGCGGGTTAGCATCCTGGTGCTTGCAGATGCGCAGCTTCTGCTCGTTGGTAAGACGTATCTGCGACATCTGTTGTGAGTGAGCAAGGTACAGTTGGTGGAACTTCTTAATTAGAGATAGCAAAATCACCAGAGACTGGTGGGGCAACCAAAATCACAAAATCTTCATAGGGCACGTGACACGTGACAGACAGGTTTTGGAAGCCTGGAGGTTTGTTGCATTTTTGATTCTTTAATTAATTAAATTAATAATTTTTCCGCAGCATACCTCTGCTATGGAATAACCTCTGCTATGTTATAGGAGTTGCCTTCCACCAAGTCTATAACTTAGCAGAGGGAAGACTGTATGAAATTAGGGAAAAGGGGTGTGAATTTACGGAAAGGATGTGTGAATATCTCAACTCCCAAAAAATAACTCGTTTTATCAAATTCTGGCTCGAATTGTACCATGACACAAAAGTAGGGGAATCGGGGCAGTGCCTATCATTGTCGAGCCAAATCCAAAGTCACATCGATCAAAAGGAGCAAAAAAGAAACCAACCCACCTACTGACATACGTTAACACTTACCATCCCATTGCACATCCATCAGCCCGTCCATCCGACCCAGCACAGAGCACTCCGGTCGTTGGATCACGAACAATAATTTGTCCACGGCCGAATACCATCCGCTCAAGACCCTTAAGTGTCACCACAGTGTGCCCAAAGACGTCACTAAGTGCTGCAATTGTACTCGATCCGAAATCACTTTCAACCAGCACGGTACTACCACCATCTTGGTGGGCAAAGTCGATACAAAATCGTGGAGCATCTAACGCTTCTTGCGGGTTCATGCCATGTAGAAGCATGCGACTTAGCACCTGGACATGGCCTTGAGGTTGCATAAAGCCCCCTATGACTGAGAAACTCGAGTGTAGCTCACCGGTATCTCCGAAAGTGGTCAGTCCGGGAATAATTGTATGATACGGTCGCTTGTTCGGGGCAAGTGCATTCGGGTGCCCTGCTGTTCCTCCGTGCAGCTCAAAGTTGCATCCTCGGTTTTGTAGTGTAAAGCCGCAGTGGTTTGGCACAAGGCCCGTGCCGAAGTCTTCGTAGTTACTATTCACCATGGACACGGCATTGCCTTGTCCGTCAATCACCTGGAAACTAACAGTATCACAAGTGAGTGTCGGGCTCCCGACCGTCGGATTAATCGCAGCTTTGGTGCGATCGATCAGAGCTGCACGCTTTTCGGCATAGCCTTGACTCAGTAACTCCTTTACAGGCACCGACGCATTGTGCTCTACGTCGCTCACGTACCACTTGGCATCTGCAAAGGCAAGTCGAAGAGCTTCAATCTGTAAATGCAGCTCCTGTGCACTACCCGGAGGCGGCAGCCCGCCATCGTCTATCAATTGCGAAAGAATGTTGAGCGCGAGCAGAGCCGTGATTCCCTGCCCATTCGGCGGGATCTCGTGCACCTGAACACCTTGGAATCGAGTGGAGATTGGCGTCACGAACGTGGACTTGTGGTTCTCGAGATCAGCCAGCGTCAGGACGCCTCCTTTCGCCCTCACGATATCCACGATCGCTTGAGCGATCCGTCCCTCCTTGTAAAACGCCTCCTTCCCCTTCTCCGCCACTTCCGTCAAACACTTGGCAAGATGTTCATTCACGAACACTTCGCCAGCTTTCGGCGCGTCTTCTCGAGCATTCAGCAATTCAGGTGCATAAGGTCCACGCAGCAATCGCCATTTGCTCCGTTTCCAGCTTGTCGCAGTCAACGGACTCACAGGGAACCCTCCACGTGCTAATTCGATGGCAGGGGCCAGGATTTCTCGTAGACTCATTGTCCCCCAAGATTCGACAGCATCCACCCAGCCTGCAACTGTCCCGGGGACCGTCACAGCATGACCGTGACCACTAGGAATGACTTTGGTATGCTGTCCGAACTCCTGAATGGCCTTCTCTGCTGTAAGAGCGGCAGGACTGCGACCACTGCCATTGAGCCCACGAATCTCTTTGGTCCTGCCGTCAAAGAAAAGCAAGAAACAGTCACCTCCAATGCCAGTTGAACACGGTTCCGTGACGTTCAGAGCAGCCGCGATGGCAATAGCAGCGTCGACTGCATTGCCATTGCGTTTCAAAGTACGTAGCCCAATTTCAGACGCTAGAGGTTGGGAACAGGCCACCATTCCATGACGACTGTAAACGGGCGAGCGAGTACCGATAGAGACCATGCAAAGCTGGAGAAGAACACGATAGGTGGTTGTCTAACGTTGCAATGGGACAGGTACGCTCGCTGCTCCGAAAAGCGTGATATATCGAGAAAAAACGGAGCGGATGCACTTCTTCGTTTGGATCAAACAACGTTTTGACTTTCCTGAAAGTATCTTGATGCAGGCTCGATACAAGCAGGTGGAGCAGGCTTGAACGATGACGGTCTCACAAGGGATCAGGACGGATGCGAAAGGTGGTCATACGGGCTTTGTCTGAGTGAGTGTATGACTCGCAGGAGTTGAAACGCAATCGAAAGCATTGCAGAGGAAGGATAGTGCAGCTTTACTGCTACTTGTGTACCAAAGTGTTGCATACATGTACACGCGCCTGTCTCGTCAGCGAGAAGGATGTCGACAAGCAGTTGAAGGTCCAGCTTTAGTTGGCGTCGCTTCGCCTCCTTGATAGGTTGAACGAAGACGTACAGCATGCACAAGTTCTTTTGAGACGCGTATCTCGTTCGTGGGTTGGTTGTCCTTGGTCGCGCAAAGCTGTGACCGAGGTGATGTGCAAGTACGTCGAGTAGGGGGGAATGTGACTTAAAGAGGGTCATTGCACCAACCCAGGAGAAGCGAGAGAGGGCAGAGCGACACGCTCTCGATGCTTATCGTATTGGCAAACGCAGTAAACAAGGGCGACTACGAGCATATCGAGACGTCGGAGTATAAATGTAAACACGGTCAGGAGAGAGGTTTGCTCGTTTCAGTCAATGAGTCCCACGAATCCACCACCAGAAGAGCAGTAAACCAACGTGTCTAGTATTCATTACGTTTGTCTAAAAACTCTAGCGTCAGAGATGTGCTGAAGGATGTACAAAGAGCTCAATCCATCACAACTGCCGAACAGACAACGGGTGATCGTGCTTCTCATGGCACATTGATAACGTGAGGATTCAGCGTTCATCATCCTCATCCTCGTCCCCACTCCCCTACATACTGTGATGACCCTCAGCATTCTTCCACATTGTCTCATAGCTGTAGGTACCAAGAAGTTTATTGCAATCCGTAATCTTCACGGGAGTAGCGACGAGATCGGCTTCAAAATCGGTTGCCGTGATGTTTGGAGCATGCACCTCGAACTCATGATCCGTGAGGAAGCAGCACACAAAGTCGTGGAATCGACCATAAGCTGCAATGCGCTCTTCCGGGGTCATCTTAACCACGTGCTCGACCGTGCCAAACAGGAGCATACGAACGGCTTGGGAGCTGCCGAGACACAAATCGCGGGACGAAATGCGCGGTCGAAACTTCTCGGGAATCATACACGAATTGGACGGCTGGATGAAATCCAACGTCAGGGCGAGGGAAGCCTCGGTAGAGTTTCCTGCACCAAGTGTGCTAGCCGTTTCAACAAGCGAGGTGATGAGGGGGGTGACAAGTAAGATGGGTTCGTCAATCATGTGGAGAAAAATTAGCGCACCCATGATCGCACCCGAGACGACGTTACTCATGCCGCCAAAAATGGCGCTCACACCACGCATGAGACCGTGGATAACGGCCGATCCACCAGCGACGAGCAGCACGGTTTCAGCCGTGAACTCTGCTGGGTGGTGCCTCACGTGGAGCAGAAACCCTCCAGCCATGTTTAAAGACGTGTTCTTGGGGTCGTCCCACATCATGATGCTCACCAACTTGATGTTCTTGCCAAACTCCTTGAAAAAGTCGATCACCTGGCGCATACCCACGAGCGGGTGACGAAAGACGTTGATGACCCATTGGATCGTGTCCGCGATCGTATGTGCAGCAGCAATGGCCGTATCGGACACGAGGTCAACGACCCTTGTGAACACCCTCTTGAACTTCTCCGATGTCGGCAGGTTCTTGAACATCTGCCTCTTCTGGCGGTGCTCAATCTTGAAAAAGTCCCACAGCGTTTTGTTCGGGTGGCTCAACATGTACGCCGACATGGCCGCATCCGCAGCTTTGGCCTTTATTTCGTCGTCCGAGAGGAGTTCCTGCTCCTCGGTGAATTTCACCATCACGGGGCACACGTTGTAGATATCCACGGCATTGGCGCTGGAGCCAGAGTCACTTGCACTGCTGCTCAATGACTTGAACGAATGGTCATGGCCCAAGGTGACGGAAGCGAAGAGGACGAGGTGGACAATGGACAACAGGGAGTGCCACATTGCACTGATAAGGGAAAGGAATTGTGATGGATTGGGAAAAATACACGCTCGGATCGGAGTTCCCCGAGAGGAAAAAGCAGGTTGGTGGTGACCAGTCAGTAGTGAACCGGGTCAGGTTTGTCCGAAGTCCTCCTCCTCCTCCTCCTCCGACTCCTGAAATCGACCTCAATACTGACATGCAATTGAAGTTGCGTGTTGTCGTCTTCCTGTACCTGAAACAGTGCAATACAAGCGAAGACATTTTCTGGTCGCACATCCTCCGAGCTGCATCGGAAAAAAGTGGCGTCCGCCGTCGGATGTGCAGCGAGGTTGGTTCTCAAGTCTTTTTGAGGGTATCCGACGACGAGGTACTACTGTGTGGACTTCGGGGTTCCATGCCTGTTCGGTACAGAGTCGACCAAAAGTGGCCGACTTTGTTTAGGAACGCGTTTCTAAACGGTGCAGCGAAATACTCACACGAAGCAGTCTCACAATGAGATTCTCAGTGCGGGCGAAGGCAGTTTCTGTACCAATTATTGCAATAGTTGGTGCTGAAACGGGTATCGAGATGACCGTCTCCATTATTGTAGCTATTTGCTTACCAAGATATGTAAAGTGTGCAAGAAGAGAGGATATACTGGTGGACACTTGATCAAGAATTTCTGTCGGCCTTGTGTCGATGAACTTGTGTCCGCCACGAGGTCCAGGAAGTGTCTCTGAAAGCCTTTCAGGAAGTGTTCAGAGGGACGATCCGGAGGCGATAGAGGTATCAGTCTGATCTGCTGGAATCGACCGTAGCAGTTGACTGCACGCACGTCGACCGGAAGAGTGCTCGTTTCTGGCACATGTTGCGACGTGGGGCGCCATCTGGCCGCTTCTTTATGCTGATCGGTAGAGGCAGAACAACTGGAGTGATGAAAGCAACCCTGGCCGCTGCTTCAAGAAAATCGTCGGAGCCTTGCATTGATCCAACACTGGCCCTCGGCTCAGCCCTAGTGCTCTGGTCTTCTTGCTCGTCGCACATCTAGTAGATCTTCGACTTCGGATAGCGACCACGTATGCGCAATTGTACGATTTATGATAAGGGAACAAGCTCTGGAGCTCGCCCGTTGATATTAGTGATTCGGTTCATAGAACTGAATCAAGTTGAAAAAGACTATACAACAGCAGCAGTCACTGAAGAATGAGCGTGACGCTAATAATGTCTTACCCAAGATAGTGGTTGGCTAGGGCAACGCGATCGGCCTGTGCTATGTGCGTCCAGCATTTGCTTATATGACCATATGTACCTATGACCGATGCTAAGCCAATCAGGTGCGTGCATCACAATATTGACCTAGCCATAGAGTGACACCTATCACGCTAATCGACCTATGAGGGGGGACAGGCTATATCGTACTTAGTACGCGAAAGGTGCACCTATCCGCGTGATTAACAGACACACCGACAGAAATAGCTTACGGGGTCAATGGTCCCATTTGAACCAAGGTTCGCCCTCGCAGCACGAGCTGTCGGTCTAGGGACATAGACTTGTCCCTGGTTGTTCCAGGGACCTGCCAAGATCTGCCGCCGGGTTCCATCACGCAATCTCACGTTGCCTCATTCAGAAAAGCTGATGGGGCAACGTGAGATTACGTGATGACTCACGTTGCCCTATTGAGCTTTTCTGTCAATGTCTGCAGAAATATACGCACGGCCGATTCCATAGAAAACATAGTAGCACATGGCAGTGCAGGAGCTCGCGCGAACAAAAAGTGAGGAGTGAGATTCCTTCCGGCTAGAGTTGGCGTGAGCTGTGTTTTGAGCTGTCTTGCTCGGAATGAGCCTGGAACTTTCTGGTAGACAGCTGACCATACTTTTCTAGCGATCACCATGCGCAGTGCCGACGATCATCAAGCACAAACGGCTCTACGATTCTAAAACATTCGTTCCGGGGACGATTCGGTATCCGGACCGGCACTTGAACAGGCCTGCCACCAGGATGAAGTCAGTTGGACCAGTCAAATCAGCGTCAGAAGCTCCGGCTGTCATCTAGTGAGACGTGCGACAAAGACGAGCGTTTTGGTGTGAATTCTCATTGGGCCGAGGCGACCAGCTCGGAGCAGTATCCGGAAGTGCACCAATGATCCGAGAAGTGTGCAGCATCCAGTTTCTCACAAGCGATCGCAGAGTGATGGGCTAAGACGGACAAGGTTTCTTCTGATGGACTCGTTACATCACTGTCACATTTCCTGACACGTATTGAATCCCTCAAACCTTTGACTCGTTTACTTGGGCTTTTGGTCGATAGTGTACAACGAACAGTATACAGATCGATCGTTTCTATTCAATACTCGAGCACACACCATCTTTGCAAGTATCATCGGTCATACCTTTTACAGAATCTCATGCCAATGCTGAGGTACAGCAGTATAAATACGAGCGCGAGAGTCAGAAACGACTTCGAGCTGCACTTCATGACCGCCTCTTTTGTACTATGAGGTGAGCCAAAAGGTGTCGTTCGATCAGATAGAGCGGTTGGCGTGCTTGCCTTCCCTGACACGTTTTTGTCAGAGCTTCTGCTCGATAAAACGCAACAAGTCCACCTCTATCTTCAGAGCTTGTTCGAAGTGACGCACGAATGAATCCAAAACAGCTCATGCCGCGCAAGAGCAAAAAAAAAAGAGCGTCGCTTTAGCGCCCCCATTGCGTGATTCCTCGGTCCAATGAGAACCAGTCGAGTCAAGACTGGGTACCAACCAGCACGTGCCTTCAGTTTCCATGCGAGACAGTCGACAAGGCTGTCTGCCCGACTCCATCAACTTGGCACCTGTGCTGTCCATATTGAAAACTGCATGCATCTCGAGCAGGTCGCTCAATGAGTTACCCATTACGGGCGTTTCTCTCCACTTGACTAAACTAGAAGATGCATGCGTACACAAACAAAAATTCATCAGTTATTCAGTCAGTCTGTAAGCCAGTACTAAGATCTAAGGACTGCCAACCAACCAGCAGCTCCAGTACGTATGAATGATTATTTTGCCCATCAAGTAGCTCCGTGCCCAGTCAATCGCAATTCCCGTTTGCAGTCATTCGCAAACTTCCTATCGCCATGATTCGCACCGGTCATGAAGTTAGCATTGCGTTCGCTCTCAACATCGCAGCTGGAGCAGCAACAATCCTAGGGGGCATGGTAGTTTTCAGCAAACAGCTCGTTTACTTGGCCAACCCCGTTAGTTTAGCGGTTGCACTAAGTGTCTCGTCCGGTGTGATGATGTTCATCTCGTTTGTCGAGATCTTCAATGAGTCAGTGCACTTATTGAAAGAGGGCATTCAGACGGATACCATGACGGAGGAGACAGCTACGGGGCATAGCTGGCTCATTGCAACGGGGTCGTTTGCTGCAGGCGTCGCCCTTATTTACACGATCGACGTCATTGTGCACAAGATCTCGCCTGACCATGAGATGACCGAGCTGGAAAACTTCGAGGATGTTCGTGACTCGATACGAAACATGGAAAGCAGCAAAGCAGCAGCAGGGAAGGTCTCAACTCCGTGTGTAGAGACGGGTCTGTCGACAGCTGCGGACCCGACCAGTCAGTTTGTCAAAATGGACGTCAACTCGCAACGTGCCTTGCAACGCATGGGGGTGCTAAGTGCCCTTGCTATTGGCATTCATAACCTCCCAGAAGGTATCGCTACCTATGTCGGAGCAATGCAGAAACCTTCGGTCGGATGTTCACTTGCAATTGGCATTGGTCTGCACAACATCCCCGAAGGCATTGCGGTTGCAGCTCCTATTTACTTTGCCACTCGCTCTCGCTGGCGAGGACTTATGTGGTGTGCGATCTCAGCTGCTGCTGAACCGGTTGGTGGCATCATTGCGTGGCTAGCGATTGGCAACGGGATGGATCCCATCTCGGAAGGTATCCTCTTTGGCCTCGTGAGTGGCGTTATGGTCTGTATCTGCGTCAAGGAGTTGATTCCCACGGCCTACAAATTTGCCAAGGACAAGACGTATATTGTTGCAATCGGTACGTTCGCGGGTATGTTCGTCATGATGGCGAGCCTCACGCTGTTTGGCTACGCGGGGGCGTAAACACGAGCGGTTGCTAGCTCTAAAAAAAAACTAACAACGACTCACTTCCGAACGAGTCAAACGACTTGAACTCGACTTTGTACTGCAATATATTCGTTCATTGAAGAAAACTGTGCTCATTGTTTTAATTCTTGTGCTTTTGTGCACAAACTTCATGAGTATCACTGTAGCTGGTGGATTAAACGGGGACACTCATCATGGTTCTCTGGTAGCTACTACATCGCAACACGTCGCGAGTTCCGGATCTAAAAAACGCAGAGGGTGACTGTATCGTAACTGTATCAATGGATGGTGGTAGCTCTTCTTCAAGCGGCTGCGTTGTCACAGTACAGTACTATGATTTTTTGCGCACAAGTACAAGCTTGACAATGATATCGGCTCGAGCTCAACTAATGTCGGTCGAAATATGGTCGAGGTCCACAGGGGCTGTCGAGTATTGATGACACAGAGATTAGCAACTCGGATCTAATGGACTCGAAAAAATGACAAGAATCTGCACCATTTCTTCAGCATCTAGACGTGGTCAGGTTGCTATCATCCATTGATCTTGTCAACCCACTGTCGTTGACTGTTCACATCGTACTCTTCGAAACGTTCGAGGCAATAAACTACGATCCCTGAGTTAAGACTCGTACGTACCTAAACTGATCGTAGCTATAGCATTGAATCAAAAAGCATGCATACAGGAGACCAGTATGCATCAGTGCAGTAGTTTGCCTACTGTGCCAGCAGACAACGTCCTCTGTGTATGCAAACAAGTCGTGTATCATCATCTAGTACATCTTATTACGAGTTAGGACATGCAAATACCGTCTCGTGGCAAGAGACCGCATACCATGAATGAGGTGTATAAAAACGCTCTGGCCTTGCTACAATATAAGTGTGGCTATCCTATCTATTGCTTGAGCGCGACCCACTCTAGTTGGTGAGGTATTGATCCAAAGACTCTCCAGAAATATCCTCGATCTGCTTGATTACGCGGTGACACGTCTTCTCCACCTCGACATTCGTATCCTCCAGGAGTTCCGCTAAGAACGGAATGCTCTCCGGCAGCATAGACAAAAACTCATCACCTATCACTTGATAACACTTTTCCACCGTCACCAGTGCTGCAAGACGCACTGCCGCAGATTCGCCACGAGACTTCATCAGGACAGCATAATGCAGCGGTTTCCACAGCAAGTCGCTCTTGGCTGCCCAGGCCAAATTTGCCAAACACGACGCTACAATCTCTAGCGCAAACGTCCGCAAAGATGGGTCGTACTGCAGGACGTCCAGCACATCCACCAACGGAGTGAGCACCACGTCAAAGCGCTCCTTCTCCATAAATCCATCGTTATCGTGCATAAAGCAGCCGTCGAGTGCACGCACCACAGTGCTTAGCAACACTGTGTTGAGTTCCCGCTTAGTCTTCTCATCAGCCACAGAAGACATGGCACTACGCTTCGCTTTCTTAGCTGGTGGTTCGACCTCACTGGCAAAGAAATCGTCCTCGTCGCCACTTTCACAGTCCTCTGAGGACTGTGGCAGCTTGTGCATCAGCACCTTTCGGCTTTCGCACAGTGATGACGTCAAGAATGGGAGCACGTGTGCGTAATATGGGACGAAAATACCACGCAAGCGCTCCGAGAGCTTGACGACCAGCTTGAAAAACGAAATACGGCGCGAGATGTCGCCACCCTTGCCAGATGAACCGACACGCGCTTGTGCCCACTCTGCCAGCTTTAAAAACAACGGCTTGAGCTGCTTCTCGCTTAGTTTCAGAATAAACTGAACAAGGCAATCGAGAACCTCTTCCTCAACATCATCTACGTTCTGCAGCTTAGCTGCGTGCACGCGACGGGCATCCAACGCAGTCACGAAAAAGCGTGCAAATGTAGGCAGATGCTTTCGAAGAGCCAACGAGTCCAGATCGTTTACAACAGTTTCCACAACCGAGAACAACCGAGTCACGCTCGTATCACTTCCCAACGTTAACACGTGCTCGTACGCTCCAAATAAAGCAGGAAGAAGCTGTCGCAGCTCGACATGATTGCACAGGTTCAAGAAGCAGCAATTTACCGACATCAGCACTCCTGCATTCGACGGAGATAAGAGTGCTGGTGTCAAAAGAGAACGAACGACAGAGGGCAGGTACGGGCCCAAAAACTGAGAAATTTTATCCGTAAACACCTCCAACGCTGCAAGCAAACACTGCAACACTGCCTTAGTGCCACTCACTACTCCATGACTTGATGAGCAGTACTCGATTCCCTTTAAGAGTCGAGGGAAAAACGTCGGTAAAAGTGGGAAAACAACAGGACCGACCGCACGGCCAATTGAAGACAGGCATACGAATGCAGAACCAAACAAATGCGTGGTCATGGACGACGAGTTGACAATGTCCAGATCCACGTATTTTGTAATCGTCGGAAGAATCTTCTGAAAGCGCTTCATGTGATTCACAGCAAAGTTCCGTGCCAATATATCCACACTGAGTAGTGCCGTCTGAATGTTCATGCTGTTCTCAGTACCTCCAGGGTTCTGAAGCATAACATCCAGCTCGTCCAGCATATCGATAAATAGCAACGATTCACCTAGAGACAATGACTCGCGCTCCTCTTGAAGTCGCTGATTGAAAAGCTGCATCGCCTTTTTACGAACCAAGCTGTTGTCATGGTGCAATAGCTCGCTGACGATTGCGACAAAGCCAGGCGTGGATAAAAGCTCCTGAAGTGTGCCCAGGATATCCATTGTATCTGCAGCAAGGGCCGCCCAGTATCCGCTCTCATCGTTGCACGATGACTGTTCCCGAGCTACCCGACGGAAGTACAACAAGTCGAGTTGTGCCAGCATCAGATAATTGTGCTGCAAGACGTCAACGTCACCATCGACTTTCAACTGATCACGTTTTCGTTCATAGCTCAAAATCTCGTGGTGTAACTCACGAGAACGCAGGTGTGCAGCAACAAACTTGACGAGGATCGAGTTCATTTGTCGAGAAAGAGTCTTCGACTTCACCAACCTCTCATCCAGCACAAAGCGCTCGTACTCTACACCGTCATCATCTTCGTCCTCATCAATCTCGTCAGTGTCCGTGTCAGCATCTTCCACCATGTGAGGCAACAAATCCCGCGTCAAACGAAGAACCATCGCCAAACAAGACACTTGCTCCGAGCACTCAAAGCTAGAGCACAAAGTGTGGGCAAAGTGAACACGCTCACGGTGGCTGACCAAATCTTTCACAATAGCCGCGTGCTGCAGCAGTGCCACAACACAGTACGGCAGTAGCTCACTTCCGAGAGACTTGACCACCACTTCGAAGAGAATCAAACGCTTGCTCGTTGGTATCCGGCTGAATGCATCCACAAAGAGACCGATAAACCGCTGTGATGTAATCAAAGCACTGGCTTCCTTCTCCTCGGCTGTTACAATGTGAGGAACCACTGCCTTGATTATTGTTTCGAGGACGTGGTACGAATATTCGTCCTCGAGACGAATTGAACCAGCGCTGACGAAACTCAGGATGTTGTCCAGTGATGCAAGCACACTTGCAGGATACAATCCTACTAATGAGCTAATGAACAGCAAACCCTCGTTGCGCGTTTGGGGCGACGAAGTTCGACTCAGACACAAAAGCGTGTGTTTGACAAGAAGCCCTGGCTTCACACTTGTCGCCAAGCACTTGGTGCCACTTGTCAACTGTTCGCTAGCTTGACTAGAAGTTGAAGGCATGACCTCGCAAACCCGGCGCAAGCAGCTAAACAAGACCTGCACGATGTATTCCGATACGACGTCCTCGTGGATTTGGTCACAGAAGAGAGCTAGCACGTCGCACAACGTTGCAAGAAGCTTGTTTGTATCAAATTCTGCCCCCTTGTAGCTCGAAGCATTGTCGACCTGGATAGCGAGAACCTCGAGGATGCAGCTCAGCTCTGCTGTTTTCACCTCAGCAGATAGCTGTTCTTTCAGCAATCCCACAAATATGCCGTAGCTGATAGGAAGGCTGCTGAGACACTGAACCACCTTGGAAGCAACAGCTTCCTCTGCAACCATGAGCAAACGGAGCATCTTCGTGACAATAGCAGAACGAGACCCATCATCGAGGGCAGCGTAAAACTTCGACGACAAACTTGTCGCCAAAAAGATCTGCAGCGTGTAAAAACGCGAAACGAAATCCTTTTCGGAGCGCAGGACACCCAACACAGCTTCCACAAACTCCTTTGGGACAGCTGGTTTTCCTCGTTTGGTCGTAGTCACAGCAACGTCCACGTCCAAGTAGTGCCTGAGAAATCCAGTTAGCATTTTCAACGTAGACTCGTCCACATCTTTGGTTGAGTACCCAGATAGTGCTTGCTGAAAAAAGTCGACAGACTGAAGCCAGAATGAGGTTCTCTTCACTGGTGCTAACAAATCCAGTAGCTTCACTGAAATGCACACTTCGTCATTGCTGGCAGAAGACACGAAGTTCATGAGAAGCTGGAAGAACGATGAGCTCTCTTTTTGAACGCAGTACGTGCCGCAAAGCACAACCACCGAGTTGCCGTCCATTAACATGTCCTGCTTTGCCTGGAGAAAATATGAAGACGCGTTCTGCAGTACTTTCAGGTCAGTTGAATTTGAAGATCGCACAGCGTCTCCACACGATAAGATCCAGCGGTCGAGGCACGAAGCCGCAGAATGACGCACTGCCTTACTACGATCCGAGAGTGCTACTATGACAACAGGGACGATGTGGACAAGCTGTCGCAGCTCTTTATTAGACTCGGTACATGAGAGCCCTTCGAGCACAGCAGATACAATATCCAGCGAGCGCGATTTTGCCAGCACTGTCAAAACGTCATCCGTGGAAACAGGCTTAGTGATGATGCGTGCCATCGTTGGCAGCAACTGGTCCGTCAGGTCTCCATGAAATAAGTCAAGCAAGCACTCTTGAGTGCGAACGAATATGGAGTTCGGAGACTGCAGCAGTGTAGCGACACAACTATCAAAACTATCACGGGACACAGCGAATTCATTACGAGCAATCCGAGCCAGCTTCGACGCAATACGTGCCGCGTCTTTGTTGGCCTCTTCCGATACTTCAGCTTCACACAGTGACACAAACTTTTCCTTCAGGATACACCCAAAGGACTTATTCAACGACGCCAAATGTTGCCGATCACTTTGCGATTTCAAAGCCTTCGCCGCTAGCTGAGAACTCGCCGCAGACAAGACATCAATTACAAAACTCGATAGAGATCTATCATTAAATTCCGACAACCGTGTCCAGCGCAAGCAATACGGTAGCAATCTTGGGACGTCAGCAGAAAGAGCATGTCCAAAAGTTTCAGCCATGTCGGCTATACTTTTCTCCATTTTTGTCAACAACGTACAAGCGCTCACACCGAATGGGTGGTCAAGAGCTGCAATCCAGGTCCAAATCGTGTCCACGGAAACAACACTTCTGGCATGCACGAGCGAAACAAACACCGTCAGCAGCTTCTCGTCCGTTTCTGACGATCCAGATGCTTTCCGAAAATTCTTCAATACGAAGCCGGCAATAGCCTTGAGGAGGGCAGCTTCTCCGCGAGCAGTCCATTTGCGTATTGCATGGACAAGTGTCTCGAGCCCTTTTCTTCGGGAACACAAGGTCAGCATCAGGTCGCCGAGCGAACTAGAAACCATGTAATGGACAATTCCCTTGTCGTCGTCGAGCATCCGACGCAAAAGTACATCCGCTTTCCGAAGGACCTGAACTTTGCTAGCCGTCGCAGCTTCCGCACTAGCATCGTTCATCTTCGCCAGCGAGTGTAAAGCCTTGTATCGGATGCGTGCTGTCGGATGATCTAAAGCAAGAGCCAAGGATGTGTTCGCGTTCACAGACAACGGCACAAAGTGTGCCGAGTTGGCCACATTCTCAAACGTCTTGGTCAAAAATTCGTTTAGCTTCTCGTCCTCCTTACTTTGCTTCGACAGCACGCTGGTAATCGCAGCGTCTACCCGTGTTGCGTCTTTCTTGCTCAGCGCAACTAGCACCTGCGAGATCGCTATTACACGTGCATCATCCATCATGAATGCCTGTTCTTGAGCCTGTTCGATCATTTTCTCAACCAGCTCGCCTGTGAACTCATCCACGACCGAAACGCTCTCAATAAGCGTCGTCAACAATCGAAAATAAGCATCGTCGCTCGACTTCATCTGTCGAGTCAGAAAGACGATCAAGATGTGGACGAACGTGGATGACTCGTACTTTGACGTAGCGTCCCGCAAAAAGTCTGCTGCATTTTCCATGTGTACCAAGTGTTTTCCTGCTGAGATCGACAACCGGAACGACGATTGAGTCTGCGCTAGAAAAATCACACACAACAGCGCATTCATCTGTGCGCTAGCATGCGTGTGCTTGACCAGTGCCTTGACCAAAGCATCCACCACTTTGTCCGTCAACGTCGCTCTTGATGCCAACTTGGTCGCAATCATGTATGCCGACGACTGCAACTCGGGAAAGTCCGAGCTCTTGAGTGCTGTCAGTAGGTGCGGGATCAGCCACCGCAGGCGCTGCTCCGTCACTTTGCACTGTTCCAAAAGCTGCAGCACCACGAGTGTGTACAGCGACGTGAGCTTGGCATTGCTCGTGCCAATGCGCGTCGCTGCCTCGAAAATAAACTCCACAACCGATGAGTCGTCCATAGCCCGTTGAACAAGCGCTGCACGCAGCAACGGCGTATTGCCCTGTGTCTTGACCGCTAGTAAAAACTCCCACCGCGTCTCGTGAATATGGAGCAGCCGCACCATGCGCACAAACCACGACGACTCGTGGTACGCCACAATCGTGGCCATCACAGCGTCCACATTGTACTGATGGATTTCGTAGCGCCGCACGAGGAACTCGAGCACTTTGTGCGCAGCGTCCAGTAAAAAGTAGGCGCTAAGTGCGTCCAGGATCTTGCCAAGCGCCAAATTCAGCTCCTGCTCGTCTTGCTTGGAGCTCTGTGCACGATGAAAGTGGATCCGCTGGCGGCTGAAGAGCGCGGCCACGCTCGCGTCAGCGTCCAGCTCGTCAAAACGCGCGTCCAGTTGCTTGAGCTCCAGTAAGCCATTCCACGCCAGGTTGTAGATCGTCTCGTCGTCCAGGCGTGCAGCTTCGCGTTGGTCGTAGAGGAACGAGGCCGTGCGTCGCTTGCTGCCGGCGCCGGCTTCGCGAAGCGCTTGGAGCTGTCGCGTTAACGCGCTCGCCATGCTTCGAGTTGACAAGTAAGTGGCCGAGGCGGGATTGACTGGCGGAGAGCAAAAGGCCCGATAGTGGGTTATTCGCCTGAAGAGTTAGTTGATGGGGAACACGCGCGACGGTGCGTGGTACCAAAAGCGCTTTTTGTACCACAGGCCACTTGCTTTTCTATGCTAGGGTATTGTCGAGGGGTAGGGGTTGCTGTTTAGTTACGGATGGGAACCTAGGTGGGAACGATGGGTTTTAATTGTGAGGGAGTATGTGTTTTTTGTGTTTTTTTGGCTAGTGTGATTGTAATTGTGTTGAACCCATTTTGGTTCCGCGTCGACTTGAATGATGCTCGTGTCGCGCGTGATGACGATAGCCAGGCGAAATAAGACGTTGATGACGAGAGCACGGGCGTCTGTGATCGATCGGACGCGCTATGTGGCAACGTATCCGAGTTTTGTCAAGATTGTGGAGGTGGGGCCGCGTGACGGACTGCAGAATGAGAAGACGCTCGTGTCCACGAAGGATAAGGTGCAGCTCATTCAGTTGCTCTCGAAGACGGGATTGCGTGCTATTGAAGCGACGTCGTTTGTGTCTCCGAAATGGGTCCCTCAGGTAAGAGCAGGTTTTTTGGGTAGTCATTATTCTGAGTCACTGCATGCGTGAGAACTTTAGTGACGTCAAGTGATTGGCAGATGGCAGACCATAGCGACGTGTTGAAAAGTATCGAACATCAAGCAGGTGTGTCGTATCCCGTTCTTACACCGAACATTAAGGTACGTTTTGAGTACTCTTTGGAATGTTGAATCGAGACAGCTACTCGAATTGTTAAAACAAATTTCGGATGGTAGGGATTTGACAGTGCTGTCGAGGCAGGAGCGACAGAAGTAGCCATCTTTGGCGCTGCATCGGAAGCCTTTAGCAAGAAGAACATCAACTGCTCGATTGACGAAAGCTTAGAGCGGTTTCGTCCCGTCTGCGAGAAAGCAAGTCGACTTGGGATCCGCGTCCGCGGGTAATGTGATTTTGTTGATCTGGCACAAGTGCGGGTTGTCGCTCCTTTTCTTGTGGTAACGACCGCTGGTGCTTCAGGTATGTCTCGTGCGTGCTGGGATGTCCGTACCAAGGAAGCGTTGGACCGAATGTAGTAGCTGCCATTGCTCGGGAGATGCTTGAAATGGGCTGCTACGAGGTGTCATTGGGAGATACGATTGGTGTTGGCAACCCTGGTAAGGAAGGCTTTATCCGTCGTTTCAAGACTCACTGCCTAATTGACAACTAATTTCGGATGCTTCCTGATGCTTGTCAAGCATCGACGCTAGCAATGCTGCAAGCCGCGAAGCAAGTAGTTCCGGTCGAGCAACTTGCCGTACACTTTCACGATACGTACGGGCAAGCGCTGTCCAACGTCCTCATCGCGCTGCAGGTAAGTCTTAACTCTGCTTTGACTTTGAGCAAGATAGCTCATGCACTCTTATACTGTTGTCTGTAGGAGGGCATTTCGGTCGTGGACAGCTCCGTCGCTGGCCTTGGTGGATGTCCGTACGCAAGCGGAGCTTCTGGGAATGTGGCGACAGAGGATGTGCTGTACATGGTCCACGGCCTCGGCATCGAAACGGGCGTGGACCTCAACAAAGTGATGGCTGCAGGTGCATTTATCACCAATGTACTCGGTCGTCCGACCAACTCGAAAGTCGCTCGCGCGTTGGCACCGAGCGAAAGGAGTCGTCTGTAGGTCGGACTCTATCGGACTTGGTCGTCCATCAGTTGTGCGCAATCGGACTTGGTCGTCTAGTAAAGTTGTCTGCATGACGATGACGCAATGCAGTCATCGTCATATGGTCTGCTAATTTCGTCCAATCAAACCTCGTCCTTGCGGAACACGTACCACTCCCTCACCTTGTTCACCATCGTCGTACAATTCCTCTCCACATTTGGACGACTAGCAGCGAGATTGTAACAACTGAAGTGACAACGAGAGAACGTGGCTGGAGCACATGGGCAGCTTCGTTACCAAGTACAAATTGCATTCCTCCTCCACTGCGGCTGGCGGTGCTGATAGTCGCACAATCCCGAGCGGTGTACGTGCGCAAATCACGTCCAAAGATAAGGCGATTCTCGACCTCAAGAATGCTCGCGACCGACTCAGACGGTATCAGACGCGGCTGGACATTGAAGCGAAGCTGCTGCACGAGAGTGCAAAGAAGTTACTCCAAGCTGGCAAACGGGTGCGTGCAGTTTTGGTGTGGTTTTCCTTGATTGTAGATGTGCTGGGAGGACTTCTGGCTCAGATAATAGGCCGATGACAAACGTGGCTGGTTGGATGCGATGCGTGTTTGTTTGTTTTTTGGTCGCAGGACCGCGCGAAACTTGCGTTGAAGCTGAAGAAATACAAGGAGCAGCAGATGCAGCAAGCAGACGAGAACCTGATGCAAGTGCTGGAGATGCTAGATACAGTTGAGTGGGAGACACGACAGCTGCAGGTGTTTGAAGGTCTAAAGGCTGGCAATTCGATTTTGAACGCTATACACAAGGTACGCGGCTATTTCTTGTCGTACATCATTCGTACGCACAATGATTGGCGCTGATAACAGTTGATTGAATATTATTGCCGGTTGTCGCCTGTTGTTGTTTTTGAGCAGGAAATGACAGTGGAGGCACTGGAAGAGCTGATGCTCGAGACGGAGGAAGCACGTACCATGGCAAATGTACGGACTAGTGATCTATGACGTCGTACTGCTATTGCGTCTAACGACTTTATGGCGATGATGCCTTCGTTTAACAGGAAATCAGCAAAATCATTGGCGGTAACTTGACTGTTGAAGACGAGGACGCCGTGCTTAGCGAACTTGCTGAGATTGAGAAGATGACGGCCGATTCACTTGCGCTTGCAATGCCGGACGCTCCACTTACCACTGGGTTGGAGACAGGTGCGCTTGAAGTGCTTTCTTGCGATTTTGTCTCTTCAAGCATCGTTGAACGTATTCAATGTAACTGACATTTGATCTTTAGAAAATGTCGTTGTCACAGCAACGCCAGGTACTCACTTCCGGCCCCGCCCGGCTGCAAGTACCAAGAGGGAAGCCGTGGCAATGTTAGGGTGACACATGCAAGTCGAGTGTAACACTGTATAGACGAGAATGAACCCATTTTTCAAAACATGTACGTACGTCCCGTTGTGTACCCCCTTATAAGAGTGTACTCGATTTAAAACAGTGTACCCGTTAAATACAGTGTACCTAACTATCTATCCGACCCGGCACCAGCTGTCTCGTGGTGGCCACACCATCCCGTTATCTTCCGCCTTCACCTCACTTTGGCTCGTCCACCTGCTCGCATTAGCACAACGTAGCCAAGTCCAGTCAGTCGCGATCCATTCCAAAATCGATCTCTCCATCCATCTGTCTCTACCTTTTTCCGACGCTTAGGCCGTCAATATGACCCCTACCGACCACTGCACCTTCTTCTCTCCATATTGTGACCCAGGGTCCTTCTACCTCTACTTGGCAATCTCCATCCTACTGATTGGCGTCGCTGGACTAATGGCAGGCTTGACCATGGGACTCTTGTCGCTGGACATGCTCAATATGCGGATCCTCGAATTGGAAGGATCAGACGAGGAGAAGAAATACGCGAAGCAAGTGCTTCCTGTGCTGACGAAGCACCACTTTCTACTTGTCACGCTCTTGATCGTGAACGCCAGTGCCAATGAAGCTCTGCCCATTTTCCTCAACAAATTGGTGCCGGAGGCTATGTCCATTGTGTTATCGGTCACCTGTGTGTTGTTTTTCGGGGAAATTATTCCATCGGCAGTGTTTACCGGTCCCAGTCAATTAAAAATTGCAGCCATGCTGTGTCCCTGTGTGCGGGTTTTGATGGTCCTGACGTGTCCAATCTCGTATCCCGTCAGTCGCATGCTTGACCTATGCCTCGGAGATGATCACGACCCGGCGCAATACAAACGCAAGGAGATTAAGGCGCTGGTGACGCTGCAGCGGGAGAACCATGTTGCTCGACGGAATTTAATTGACCACATGCGTCAATCGCAGCAGCTTGAAGACACGCCGACGCATGCGCGCACACTGACGACCATGTCGGCCATCCATGATAAACAACCGTTGCTGAACCCACACGCAATGTACGAGAACTCGGCTCAAGGCACGCTATTGCATGTGGATGAAGTCACAATTATCCATGGAGCACTGGACTTGGCGTCCAAGACGGTTACGGAAGTAATGATTCCGATGCAAGATGTGTACATGCTTGAATTGGACACGGAGCTTGGCCCGGACATGCTGGCAAGCGTATTGGCTTCTGGACACAGCCGCATTCCTGTGTATGAGAAGCACAAGTCGAATATTGTGGGTCTGTTGCTGGTAAAGAAGCTTATTGTGCTGGATCCAGATGACCGTCGCCCGATTCGGGACTTGATACTTCGCAAGCCAATACTAGTGGGCCCGAAAGAATCGTGCTACTCGATTTTGAACGAGTTCCAAAAGGGTCATTCGCACATTGCACTGGTGACTAAGGACGTTGAGCTTGTCTTGGAATGTTGGAGCTCGGATGAAGCTATTCCTGGCACTGTCGTGTTTGAGGGCATTGTGACGATTGAAGACGTGATTGAAGAGCTCATCCAGGAAGAAATCGAGGACGAGAGCGACGTCTTTGTGCATGGCATTGTGGATTACTGGCAGACGCGTTATCGTAAGATTGTCAAAGGCACCGGAACGACGTTCGTAAAAAAGCGACTTCGCCTCTTGGCAGACCGTGCTCGTCGGCGTGTACGAAGCCGTCGCTCGAAACAGGCGGCGGAATCAGCCACGGCTAGCTCCATGAGATCTGCAGGTTTGCTTCACGTGGACTCTACTACAAAGATAGAGGTGGTTACCGAGAACACACCGCTTCTATAGAGAGGGACAAACAGGTGAGCTAAACTTGCTGTAGTGAAGCATGTACGATTCCTTGTCTTGGACCCTACCATAGTTGTTGTCACAGCAAGTTTGTGATGCATGATAAATTTGTGAAAGCAGATGCTTCAAATGCAGAACTTTGTGTAAATGCGGATAAACGTGCGTTTTAGTCTATTCCCGGGTCAAGCTCTCCTCTTTTAAGGTGAACGGCTGTCCTATCATCGATCGTTTTTTCTGTATAGTACCACAACTCGTAGCCATCTGTTGTGGATCACTATGTCTCACATTCCTGAAACTCCAGCTTCGTGAGTTACAAAATACCCACCTCTTCATGCGCCGGGGGTTACGAAACACCCACCACCCAAGAGCTACAGGTGGTTGCACAACTGCTAGTATAAGAGACGCACTAGGGCACCAAGCGAATAGCATGCATATTGTTACACTTCTCAACTTATCTCCGAAACGCACGGATTCATCACAAAGTATACTTTTGGTATAGCAAGCACAAGTCAAGCACGGCCGGCATCTCAGCGCAACAAAATGTCGATCTTCCGGATGGTGGATGAAGACGTCGAGATGACGCCCGCGTAAATCACCGCCCGGAGCAAATTACGGCGCCAAGGCTGCATGAATAGAACCAGGCGTCGATGATTCGCTGGCGAAGCGAGCGGTAACAGTATGAGTACCGTCTTCGCGACCGTTGCTGTAACGGGGCACCCTGAAGCTTGTACTGGTGACAGTACAAGCTACTTATTCTGATAACAGAATAAGGCGGTGCCTCGTAACTTCACGTACACTCGTACGTGCAGAGGAAGACGGTAAGAAGAAGCGAGTACTCGGTTAGAGTAAAAAGTAGAACTGTATTTATAATAGTTAATGTCTGCAATAAATCACTATTTATCTTCATCTAACTATGTCTAAATACAAATGTGTAAATCAGTTATCTGCTCACCACTCATTGCGTGCGTCTGTCGTGGCGCGTCTTCGTTGGTTGATATAATGGCCTATATCAACCAATTAGGAACTACTTGGAAGTGCTACAGAATATTGTCCTTATGACAATATTCTGAGAATATAACTCTTATAGTTATATTCTATTAACAATTTCTTATAAATTGTTATGTAACGATTCACCCCGTTACATCACCCCCCCTTAACCATCAGTCACTTTAGTGACTGATTGACTAAATGGATACTCGTCCCAAATCATTTGGGACGGGGTTTGCACTTGTTGGTCCGCGTCCACTTTCCAACATCTCATCGCATGGTAAACAAGCCCATGCGATGCGCGAGCAAGGCCGCCGAGAGCGCGTCTGCACGTCTCTGTGCGGACGCCGAAGCAGAAACTACAGCAACTGATGTCCCATCGGTTGCTGAATCGACTCAGCCTGTATCACCTGGTGATGCAGGCGCTGGTCATGAAGACACTCGTGTCTTCACAGAGTACGAGCTCGGTGTCTCGTACTCTCCTGATACGGATGACGGATCCGTATCGACGGCAATTGAATCCAAGCCGCCTGCCAAGCGTGGCATGGACGATGCTTTGCGTCGCAGCATCTTTGGTTCATCTGATGAGTCAGATGAACCATCGCCGAAGCGAAGGCGCTCGAGGTCGCGAGACTCGGGCGCTAATAGTGGTGTCGTTTCTCCAATGGACACCACTTCACAGCGAGGTGCCAGTACTTCTGTCGGCACGTCGCAGGAAGAGCGGGACCGCAATGTGTTGCGTCTCGCTCCAGAAAAAGAAGGCATGGATGCCTCCTAAATCTGTCATGGATCACTTGTCGGCGACGACGAGTGATCGTTATCGAACACGATTGTTCGATTCGTCAAGGATCCATCACCTTGACCCCAGCGCGAAAGACTATCGCGCTGAACATGAAGTTCTTCATCGATGCTTTCTTCAGACATCGATGGTACAGTGGGAATCACAAACGTGATGGTCCCTCACTACTTCAGGCGTGGAACGCCTACATCCATAACCTCGAGGATGTAGGTCGTGACGCTTGGAACGACAAACTTATCAAAGCTCGTGATAAGTTTGAAAAGCGAACCCCCCACAGGTGCACGCTACAAGCTGCATCGTCTGTCAAGGGAGAAAGGATTACCCTGCCTCTCTTGGGGAGACTCGTGCCCATGTTGTGTGAACAACTCTGCACGAGCACCTAAGGAGGCTTACCTCCTTACCAGCCCGTGGTGGCGCGTACGTATCTCTACTGAGATGTACGAAGGGATTGACAACCTGAAATCCCTTTACGACCGTGCCGGGAAGACTTTCTCCGGCGGTCCTTCTGCGGCACAGGATGTGTCGCGTCGTACTGCTCGACCAGACCCAGTACGTCAACCATCAGTGGGAGCGGGGCTCCCAAGAATCCCAGGACGGGGGATAGCCGCGCCACCGGACGAGGTAACTCGTCCGACGTCCGTTCACGTCGCGGTGGTTCAACAGCTGCTCTACTAGATAGCGCTGGCCACCGCGAGAGTCCTCTAATGGAGGTGGAGGAGGAGGAAAGACGCTCTCCACACGATCATGTGGATCGGTGTGTTCCCGAGAGCTTCTTTGATCGCGTAACGCAAGGGTTACGCGACGATCTCGAGCATGAGCGGAATAGGCGTCTCCAGATGGTGGACACTGCCTCGAAGCATCGAGCTGAGTTTGCCTTTGCTCAGCTTGAGAACGAGAGATCTCTGACATCTCTTCGTGACGAGCTAAGGGTAGCTCGTGGGATTGTTGATCGGTCTCGGGCTGAGATAACTGCTCTTCAGACCCTTGTTGATGCCCACCATCGGGAGCACAAGGCTCTCTGCGAGATGCTTGAGCGCAAGGGCGTTCTTCATCGGAAGAAGCAGCGTACTGATGGTACGGCTTAAGCCGACCAACGTAAAACGTGGGATGCGTTCGCATCTTACGTGGTAACTCGATCGTGTATGCATTGCCTAGGCGGTGCAATACACGAAATGGGCCAATGTACTTGGGTAGTAGTTTACTGCTACCCAAGTTAGTCACTACATGTTTTGGTAGATTAACCGTAGACAGTAGGACTAAGTCACCTTTATTAAATAAAAGAGTGTTTGCCCTTCCATTCTTGTCAGCGTTTTGCTTTTGCTTATCCACCGCTTCGGCGATGGAGTCTTGCACAAAACGGACTACCGTTTCACGAGCCAGTATGAACTCATCTGATGACTCGTTAGCTTCAGTGTGCTGTGAGCGCACTGCAGCAACAACAACCTTTTCTTCAGTGAGGGCTTCCGCACTCTCACTGGCATCATTGTCTTCAGTGAGGGCTTCCGCACTCTCACTGGCATCATCTTCTTCGATATCGATGTTATCGATATCGGCATCAAACTACCAATGACTTCTTCGTCAGAGCGTGATGAGCGTGAACCAAATCGGTTTTTGCTCGCGCGAGTCCCTCCCCCCCTTAAACCAGAGTTACACTCTAGTAAGGTGGGTACACGCGGATGGCGCAAGCCATTCACGTAAAACGGTGTATGCGTCGTGGACGCATGCACCGAGTTGTTGATGGCAAACTCTACCATTGGCAAAAACTCACTCCAACTCTTAAAGGAGTGTACGTATCCTCGAAGTATCTCTTCAAGGACACGATTGGCACGTTCCGTCTGACCATCTGACTCTGGATGATCAGATGTTGACATCTTCAAGCGCGTTCCGAGTGATTTGAACACGGAACGCCAGAAATCAGCAGTGAATCGTGGATCTCTGTCTGATACGAGTTCACAGGGCAACCCATGAAGTCGGAAGATGGTGTCAATAAAGACACAAGCACAGCCACTTGCCGTGATTGTCTCTGGTACAGCCACAAGGTGTACCATTTTGCTGAATCTGTCAACAAATACGAGAATACCCGTATTCCCGCGTGCGTCTTTAGGTAACCCGAAGACGAAATCCATTGAGATGGATTCCCAGCACTCAGCCGGAACCGGTAGAGGCTGTAAAGGTGCACGCAGTGAAGGACTTGACTTCACTCGTTGGCAGACTTCGCATGCGCGAACATACTTTCGCACAAACTGATACTGGCGGGGCCAGTAAAAGTCTCGACTTACCGTGAGATATGTTTTCTCTCGGCCACGATGTCCTCCTATAGGAGCATCGTGATACTCGAACATGATCCGCAAACGCAGATCAGTATCATCTGGAATGACAACACGTGGTGTGTCACCAGAAACGGCTGTATAGTACAGTAAACCGTTACGAGTAGTGTATCGATCTGATGCAGATCGATACGCAGACGACAATCGTTTCAACGATTCTCGAGATGGTTGGGAGAGATGTGACAACAACTTCACTATCTCACCATCTTGGGCGTATGCCCGCCTCACATCATCATACAACGTTGTAGATGGAACTGAGGACGTCATAACCGCAACAGTGACTGTCTCACTGTTGGGTTTCGCGACTGTTTCAAAGTCGGGACGACGTGAGAGTGCATCAGCGACGACATTAAGTCGTCCTGGTTTGTACTCGACCGTAAAGTTGTATTCTGCAAAGAATGACAACCACCGCGCCATTCGTTGTGAAAGGTGCGGGCTGTTCACTGCCGTGCGTAAGGACGCATGGTCAGTGTAAACAACGAAGGGTCTATCTCCTAATAGATAGACTCTGAACTTCGCGAGTGCATACTTCATGGCAAGGAGTTCCTTGTCATGCACTGGATAGTTCCGCTCAGCTGGTTGCAGCTGACGCGACTGATAGCAGACGACGCGTTCAACGCCTTCAAGGTCGTACTGCATTAATGCACAGCCGATTGCGAAATCGCTGGCATCACAGACCACATGAAATGGCCTGTCCTGATCGGCTATTGCTAGGACTGGGGATTGTATCAAGCTCTGCTTGATACCCTCAAAGGAGCGTTGACATTCAGCGTTCCATAACCACCTCTCGTTCTTTTTCAACAAACGAGAGAGGTGTACAGTCATCTCGGCGTAATTGCGTGAATACTTATGCAAATACGCCGCTAGCCCAAGGAATTTTTGAAGACCTTTGACATCGACCGGCACGGGCCAGTCGGTGATCGCCTTGATCTTTTCGGGATCAGGACGTACACCGTTCTTACCAACGATGCACCCAAGAAGTGGTATTTCGCTTGCTGCAAATATACACTTCTTGAGGTTTGCATACAATTGATGCTTTCGCATGATTGTAAGAACTTGTCGGACGTGGTACTTGTGAACCTCAACGTCCGACTTTCCATCCATAGCTCGACTATGGATGAATACGTCATCGAAATAACTCGGCGCGAATTCTCGTACTGGCCTCAACAGATGTGATACACACCTGTTGAACGTGGCAGGGGCATTACTGAGCCCTTGTGGCATTACTAGCCATTCCCAGAGCATGCCGCTAGGCGTGCTAACTGCGGTATAGGGTATATCCCGTTCCCGCATTAGGATTTGATAGAAGCCATCCATCAAATCCATGGACGAAAAGATGGTACTCTTTGACATACCATCAATGATTACGTCCTTCCTCGGTATCGGCGTCTGAGCCGGTACCGTTGCAGCGTTCAATTTGTTAAACGCGTGCACTATCCGCCACCCTCCTGTTGCTTTTCGCACACAGAAGGTCGGAGAGCTATGTGGGGAAGTTGATTCCCTCACATGGCCCGCTGCTAAACGATCGGCAAAGAACTTGTCGATCGCAAGTACTTGTTCACGAGGCAGTGGCCACTGCTTCATGACACAGTACTTCGAGCCTGGTTTAAGCTCGACTTCGTGTCGAATACCTTTATCCTTCGGTAATTCGCACGGAACAGTTTCAGGGAATACATCCTTGAATTCAACCAAATCTTCATAGAGAGGATTTTCCTTGAGCGATTCCCATGATTGGGACTCATATCGCTCAATTCGTGTCTTTTCATCTAGGACACTCTCGTCCATAGATGAACTACTGAGAACTCTCTCGTTTTCAGTAAACACTGTTGCTGACCTTATGTCGGTTACATACTCGTCGTCAGCGACGAGTATGCAGATCTGCTTGACTTTGCCACTACGCAGATCACGCAAGAACCTTTTATGTTCGAGCGTTAGCAACTGAGTGATCTCCGAAGTTAACTTCGGAGGCGCAATCAGATCAAGTGTATAAGCGCCTACACATGATCCGTTATTGACTATGACATTCAATGTCTCTGTCATTTCCTGGGGACTTATTCCCTCAGGCTTCGAAGGACTTATTCCTTCGTCTTCCCGGGGACTTATTCCCGCGGGTTTCGGGGAACTTATTTCCGCCGTATTTGTAATCTTGGGACTTATTCCCTTTACTTCCTCTAGCTGGGGTTGCGCAACCACAGCGAGATCCTCTACGAAAGACTCTCCAGTCGATCTAGGATTATCGTTTCGCTTAACCTGAGCGATCGATTGTTTCTCTTCTAGATGTTCCCCTCTAGGGATACATCTTTGTCCCAGTCCACCCGACTTATTCGAGTGGTGGACCTTCGGCGCAGCCTGTGTTTCCTCACAGCCGCCGGAACTTTGCTCCGAAGTGTAACCGTTTGGTACACTAAGGTTTTGTGCAGTCGTACTAACGACCGTACCACAAGTGAGGCCATCGCACTCACTCGTAGTACATCCACACGCTTGTGGACGCTCCAAAACGTTCATCAGATGGCCATCTGATGAACAAGCGGCAGGCATCGTTACTGTCCGATGTTGCCAGTTTACCCGTGGTTCGTACCTTCTGAGCCACGGTATTCCAAGGATGACATCAAATTTGTCATCCAAATCCAATACGATAAAGTCATCGTCGTATTGGGTATCTTCTAGCGTATAGTGAATCTTCACTATACGCTTCATGACGGTTACGGATGCGCCTGTCGCAAGACGTACCGTCATCCTCGTAGGAGGTGTGTCACATTCACTGAATTTAAAGTGACCATCTTCTAGCGATTGGCGTCGCACAAAATTGTTGGACGCCCCACAATCGACTAGAGCTCGAAGGGACAACTTATTCGTCACTTCGAGTTTCAAGGTAATGAGTGAGATCTCATTACCTAGAGCAGCAACGCACAACGTCTGTGTGTTGGGAGCAACCTTCATCAAGAGGCCTACAAATTCTCTTGACGTTGCTGGATCAGTAGGGTGCTCCGCACCTACTGATCCTGTCCGTTTTTTGACGGTCCATCCCGTTGTTGCGTCTTTGCACCAACTGCGGACCCTCGTCCCTGCCCCTTTCTCATGGGTGGACGGTCACTACGCCCAGTGTCGCGAGACACTGGACGAGGGGCACTACACTCGTAAGCGTAGTGTCCTGTCTTTTGACATCTGTTGCATCTCTGCAACTTCTTGTAGCCTGTAGAGCGAGCCTTCTCGCTCTCTACATAACAGAGTTCCATCGGCTCTGGACCTCCGTTGTCATATCGTCTCGGTTGACGATATGATGTCGAGCTGGCGCGAGCCTGTCTCAGACTGAAGTCTTCCTGCTCCGCAATTGAAATGGCTTGTTCTAGTGAATCTAGTTCAAGCCGGAACAGGTGAGTCTTGACGGGACCATCCGCAAGACCCTGCATGAACACCGAAACCAACGTGTGTTCATCCACCGGATTGGAACTTATACAACTCGTGAGATGTCGTATATGTTGAGCGTAAGCGTGCACATCACGCTTACCCTGCTTGAGCTTCAAGAGTTCGGTTCGAGCTCTGAACTCAGCTCTAGGCGGTTCAAACGTTTGTCTGAGCCGCGACTTGAAGACTTCCAACGACCCAAACGCATATGGGTCGTGCAGCTTGAGCCCCAGTGCCCAAGTCTTGGCACGTCCTGCCAGATTTGACTGGGCAAATGCAACTTGCATATCCCCGTCGTCGATGCGACGCGCCCTTATGGCGTCATCCAATTCGACGAACCATCTCAAGAGGGA